GCTTCATCGAAGACGATGGGGAGGTACTTCTCCGATGCCTCAAACAAGCTGAGGAGAATGCACACCTCCGGAATGGTGTCATAAGCTCCACCTGGTGCGAACGGTAAGCGAGAAGCAAGCTATCGGAGATCAAAGCCACAAACCAGTGTGCCCGCTCACTCCCCGAGCAGCACCTGTTGCGGTGAAGAGCACGAGAGCATCACGGAGAAGCTGGATGTTGTGCAGAAGAGTCGATTTCTGTTCTGCAGTCAACTGGGGCTTGGAGGGGTCAAGCGTCAATCTTATCGCATCCCCGATTAAGCAGATAGTCCTGATTTACTGCGACAAGAAGTCAACACTGACTTTCTGTACTTCTTGAGATCAATTGGGAACGCGCTCTCTGTGCCAGGCATTTTGGGAGATCAGGTGTTTCGAAGGTCTAAGTAATGGTGGTGTGATGATAGACTGATCATTCGATCTTACCAGCTTTATTAAGGTGAGCGTGTGAACTTGCATGTATGCGGGCCGCGTTAGTAGCTATAACTCACATGAAACCAACATGCGACGAAAGGAAACGTTCGAAAGCTTTCACAAGCGAGAGCACACCAGAGCGCACTCAGCTAGTCCCGGAGTACAGGTAACTAGGTCATTTGCTCACTGCACTGCTTCACTAGTCCCTTCGATGAGAGAACGACACGGTGACCGTGAGCATGTTCACATATAGATTAGTGCACATCTTCCCAATCATGTGAGCGGTCGTCGCTTTTTCATGGGTATCGGTGAAAGTTCTGTGAGTCTCCTATGTGTCTTGTGAGTTTCTATGGAACGAACGAATCATGATGCTTTCCGTAGATGTATGGACACGTTCTTCGTATTCGGCCTGGGATGGTTACCTACGTAACTTTCTCCGCGCGCGTTTGTCGGAAACTACATCCCTTTCGAGAGGCTAATGGTACAGGAACCCGGTAAGGGCGGTGCCCCTGACGAATGATTGTGGTCAATCTAATTATGGTCAAGTGAAACGTCGATCTGGCCGCGCTGCTCACTAATGCTAACACCGACTTTGAACTAGTACGTCGACATTGTCTGCACTCAGAAGGCAAGGTTTGACATATTAGCCTATCACTTACCTACCTGCTAGACCAGAGCTGCACTTTCCCGAGGGTGGATGAACAACCGGTGAAATGGGTCCCTTAATATGCAGCACGCATTGATCGTACTTGCCTAAAACTTGGAGAGAGTTTCGAGTCTATCATGTGTGGATAAAACCGATACACAGGACTGGGTCCAATTTCACGATTCTTCATAGGTATGTACGATAGTCATCGACATCACTGAAGTCAGAATCTCAGCATGGTCCCTCAAACTCATGATATCTACTGCAAGTACTCATCATGGGAACCGACCTATTAGGTTGTACGTATCACCTCCACGGGCGGATATACTGCCAGTAGCCTTCGAAATTTGTTTGGGCCGGTCTTACTCTGGACTACACAAGGTATGGTATATCGGACCTGAGATATTATTAACGATGATGCTGGTCACGCGTAGTTTGGCTGCGGCGCTGCACATGTGCTTCAAGTTGTGGAAGAAAAGTGGATATCCTTTTTCAGATGTCGGAAAGATCCCATGTCTCCCGATCTATAGACCCACCCAAATTTAGGCGTCCTACACTCGAAATGATAAGAGCCAGAAGGCGAAATTCTGCACGATGTCTAAGCTAATGTGTCTCGGATGATAACACAAAAGCTTCCCGCTACACCTCTCGTTACTTCCTCCATCACCATCGCCAGCAGTACCTGGCTTTAGACCTGCTTCCACATTCAGTGCACAGCAAACACTAGTTAGTTTTGCCTTCGCACCGAAACGTAAAGCGGACTCAAATAACTCCACCAAATCCACAACACGCACCAAGCCTAAGGCAATTTCGAAAACCTCCTTACCTCAAGCTGAGCTGAAGAATTCCTTGCATTTATTTTTGTATGGTGGAAGGCACATTCTCATATTGTATTAGTATGATACACCCGTATCTGACATTCAACATATCAGATAAATGTTCCCCGGTGTCCCATCCTGAGCCACATTAATTGCCCGCACAAGACCCCTCGGTGCCCTGCAAACGAGTATTTTTGGATGTGGGAATTACAGATACGAAACGGCGTGCAACATTGCTTCCCGAGAATTTTGGCGTATTCAGATCGTGAGAGGCAAATGCAAAAGGAACGAACGTACAGAGGCACGGAGAGCTGACAAGGGGGCTGCAGAGAGGAGACGATGGGCAGAAGACTCTGTTTGTGATAAAGAGGTGATCATTTAGGGCTGCGGCAGCTCGAGCTGTAGAAATTTCTATTTTGGTGAGGCAATGGGTCTGGAACCAGTTCGAACTCGAACAGAACCATATCTGACCGATCCATTGGTGAACCTATAATCCTGGTCCAGGTTTGAGGGTAAGGAAACACGGACCTGCGGCACCGAATTATATTATTCAGATCAGAGGAATGTGACGAGGCGATGATTAATATGGAGCCCCAGTTCTGAGTCCGTCGAGTGGGCATGCTGCAAAGAAGAACTCGTGATCGTTCTTACTTGTTATCGGTAAGTTTGTTTGTTGGTGCATTTATACATGTGGCGTATTACGTGATGTCGTGCTGCATTCGTTCTAGTTCACGCTTGTATCCGCATCCGATTAATTTGTTCAGGGCGGGCCCATCAATGCATCAATGCATCATGTGTCGAAGATTTGAAGCTAAGCCTCATAGGTTCTGGTCCTTCGCAACTACCTATTTTTCCGTACAGGAAGACGACAGTTGCTCCTCACTATCATGCGACTAAATCAGCTAGTACAAGTCATTGGATGCTGGCTGCTGCCAGTGGCAACCTTCTCGAGGAATATCGCTTTTCAAACTAGTCAGTGATGAATTTAATGACGCGCGCGGTACGCCAGTGTCCAAATGGGGTTTGCTAGTCCAAAGTTGAGATCCACTTACGACGACCATCACACTATAAGATGCAGACATTGCTCGCTCTCCTTTAAGGAGATACGCTCACCCTCCTGTTCACGTCATATACGCTCTCTGCTCTATGATCATGGCCACGACTTTGAAAGGGGAGCTCCGGGATATCATTCAGTATCGCAATGCCTACTTGCTTGCGTTCTCAGCGACCACGGGATACGTCTGCTTCGGTTGGGAAATTGGTCTTATAGGTGGGGTGATCACATTGCCATCATTTCAAGAATATTTCGGTCTGCTATCGGAATCAGCCTCTGCACGCGCCAGCTTGAGCGCTAATATAGTTTCGGTCCTGCAAGCGGGCGGATTGTGAGTGCAGTGCAGTTGCTCACCTCAATTAGACTCATATATTTAGCTTTGGAGCATTATTTTCGAGCTACTTTGCAAGCCGATTTGGGAGAAAGCCTGCTTTAATAGCTTCGGGAGTCATCTACCTCATCGGAAGCATCATCCAGTCAACAGCTGGAATTGGAACGTCCTCGGCTGTTGGATTGAAAGTTTTGTATTTCTCCCGTTTCTTTGGCGGCATGGGAGTGGGTTTGATGTCAGCTTTGGTGCCGGCATACGTATCCGAATGTGCCCCGAGAGCCATACGTGGTCGATGCACTGGTTGCATCGAAGTTTCGGTGGGATTGGGAAATATGCTGGCTTGTGGGTGTCACTTCCAGACATATGACAATTTACTGATTGATGGTGTATAGTTTGGGTCAACTACAGTGTTTCTCTTAATATCTCACCAGGACAAATGCAATGGCGATTGCCCTTTATCGTCCAGATTATACCTGGGGCGCTCTTGGTGGTTTTTATGCTTTTCCAACCCGAGTCTCCCCGTTGGCTTGTGGAACGCGGACATTACGATGAAGCAGCTGCAGCTCTCGCATATATTGCGAGGAAAGATCAGGACGATGTTTCTGTCGTGCTGACTCTTGGCGAGATTCGCGCTGATTTCATCGGGAAGCACAGACTACCGCTACTCACACAATTCCGCAAGATGGGAGAATCAAAAATCATATTTCTGCGTTGCATCATCGCTTCTATCGCCACCTTCTTCCAGCAGTGGTCCGGCACGAATGCAATTAATTACTATGCTCCCCAAATATTTGCCGGCCTCGGTTTCTCATCTACTTCTTCAGCGTTATTTGCCACTGGCATATACGGTGTCATAAAATTCGTCGTCACATGCATGACTCTTGCCTTCGTCATCGAAAGTTGGGGTCGGAAGAGAAGCCTGATCTATGGTGGTCTAGCGCAGGGCTCGATGATGTTATGGCTTGGCGGGTACGCTGGTATTCACCCCCACCAGGACGTTGTGCCAGCGACGTACGTTTCCATCGTCGCCATATATCTATACGGCGTCTTCTTTTGCTTAGGCTGGGGCTTTACTCCCTTTGTCCTCGGCTCTGAAGTTGCACCAGGCCATCTCCGTATGGCCGCCATGTCCCTCGCAGCTGCGATTACCTGGCTGTTTACCTACGTCATCGCCCAGATCACGCCCATCCTGCTAGATCGCATAACCTATGGGACTTACCTCCTGTTCGGCGTTGCTTCACTTATAATGGCAGCATGGGTATATATCTTCATACCCGAGACGACTGGGTATCCACTGGAAGACATCAAATATCTCTTCGAGAGAGATATCATCCTTCGCTCGTTGGAAGATGCGCCTTTGGGCTGGATCTTCCTTGGGAAGCGTCGCGCCGTTTCCGTTGAAGAGCTTAAAGCCGCCGATACCCTTCCGACAAATAGTCCCAAGGATGTCTCAGAGGAGTTGAGGTTGGAGGAAGCGTCCGCGCGGGGTCATTCCCTTCGGACTTCAAATTCACAAGGGTATGATGATCCTCTTATTATATGAACGTAGAGTATTGCGGCAGTTACATGAATCTTTGTATGTATTTCCACAGCCCATCTGTAAAATGAAGGGCTAGCTTATGTATCAGTTATCTAGCTTTACTTCTTGATGTAATAATGCGCAGTAAAGACCGAATCATTGAATCCACGTGCAATAATGAAACCCCGACGACAAACTCATTGACAATGAACTCTTGCGTGTTCCCATCGACACTGTTGACGTGCTCACCGCACTTTCGGACCAAGATGACACCGGAGATCGAGGAAGGACCTCTAATGCAATTGGTGGCCGATAGGACTGCGAAGACAATAAAAAATCCTCTAAGCCTTGCTAGCAACCCGAGCCGCTCGATGCGCCTGTTTGCAGGCATGCTTTCCATGAAGATGCCTCTTCAAAGCATCAGGACGAGTGAACGGGTGTCGGCAACCCAAGCATGAATATTCAGGAGCACGATGTCTAAGACACTGCCGATGGCGTGCAAGATCGGTGGCACTGTGACAGACCTGCCTGCAGCCGTCGAGTAAACAGGGAAATAAGGTCTGTTTGGGTCCAGCGAGACTTCTTTCTTTGACCGATGTCGATGATTCATATTCAGAGTCATCGGTTTTGTAAGTGGGCGTGAAAGTATCGGACGAGGAACACCGCTTGCGAGTTGTAGCTTTTCGCTCGTCTCTGAGGCATTTTTGCCTTTTGGTGCTATCTCTGGGCGGAGCTGATGCATTTCGTCTCTTCTTTGTGACCGCAGTCGGGGTGCCCGGAACCCTGACATTCGAAGAAGCTGGAGTACATGGATGGGGAACATTAATTTCATCATAACCGTCATCGGGGGTAGAAGAAGTATAGCCATCCTCAGAACTGTCGGACCATGACACAGAACCGAGAGGAGAAGAAGCCGAAGGCATCGGTGAATCCTGTGTGACGCTATGCAGCTGCCATGACATTGTACCGTCTGTCGAATAACCGCAGTCATCATCGACATCAGATGGATGATCGTCACATTGGGTGACAAATGGTCTGTCATAAACTGCGCTATCACGTCTACGATGCGATCGGAACGCTTGAAAATCCTCGCAGTCCAGAGGCGGAGTGCAGGGGCGCAGGGAGTTTACCTCACTTGGTCTCACAGACACAGCACCACATCTCTCCTCGTAAGATGAACGACAAGGACGATAACCAGGCCTGTCCCATGTTACTCCCATATCGGAAGGTGAACTTTCCATCGCACTGGCGAGATAACATGGTCGTTTCTGACCAAAACCCTGAGTATGTGGGCAATTACGTGAATCCCAGGCATGAGCCACAGCATCGTAAAGCTGCGAAACATAAGGACATCGTTCATACACAGATTGTCTAGCTTACGTTGTTCGGGAACTTGAATGATGCCAGCTCTTCATCCATTGTAGCGATATCAAAATGGTTCTCCGAAGTGCAATTGTAGCCAACGCTACAGTCGAATGCGGTCGCTAGACACGCCGATGTGAATGGGATCATCGTGAACGAGTAGAGACCGCAGAGATGTGTGTCGGAGCAAGGGGAACTACATTTGACTTTATACGTCAGTCTGGATCATCCGCGATCATGTAAAGCACTTTGTTGCGAGCAACAAAGCATGAAATCGATGCGTCTAGGTATGATTACATTTTGTTTCTCAGAGCGGCCGACCCAAAAACATGTAAGTCAAAACATTCAAGGACGCCAAGCATGACTTACGACCATTGTTTCAAGCCTTTCACTGATCCTGACACAAGAAGCATGAGAAGTATTAGTAGTGCAGAGACATCTATGGCGGCCCAATTAAACAAAGGAAGAAAAGGTTGCAAAAAGGTCCCTTTCAAATGTGGGAAAAAGTCGAAGCGAAGTTGATCATGAATGTACTCGTCAGTCTCGTTCACAGTCCAGATCCATCGAGTATCCAGCGTCCACGGGAGTCTCGGACAGATGACTATTTTGTGAACACGAATATGCTCGATGACAGGAGAAGTCCAGGCCAGGAGTGGGAGGAAATAAGTACGTAACGCCGCTCCAAAAGAACACGATATATCGAGCAAGCCTCTGCGCCAGAGCCAACGGCTAACCAATAATTCATACCGCTCAACGCATGTCTCATCAAGGCACTCAGCTCTATTTGCGACCTTAGGGACTTGATATTTGAAATCGTGCCTGTGACGAAGGATCAACTCTCTCACTATGATCGGAGGTGCATGCATCATTATCAAACACTTACATACCGCAGTTCGTCTGCGAAAAAATAGATGACGGTCCTTGTCCCAAGTTGTGTAAATTCATTCCCCTTCATTTGTGAGAGGGCAACCGAGCGGTAAGCGCGAGAAGTTATGTAGTGTTAGTGAGTTGAAATATGTCACCCGTTGAGACATTGCATACTCACGAACATCAACCCTTATATCAGTATTGGACGAGACAGCTACCGGCTCCGAGGAGGGAGCATGCGGCATCCCTGTGATCCTTGACACGACCGACGTCTAGCCAATCGCACTCGCGCAGCACACCACCACGTAACTGAAAAATCTATCCTGGATAATAGTTCTGAGGGCTTATTCCTGAATGCGACAATCCAAGTCGGTTACTCACCACTGTTGGTTATTCTGAGATAGGTACCATGCTTTTCACAATTTCGACGGCGAACTTGAATTAGGCTGTGTTAGCTGTGATACTGGTAGCACCTGCTCTGAGTACTCCAGAATAAGTTAGCAACACCACTAGGACAACGATACGTGCATACTGGCTCGCCGCCGATGAGTTTAAATTCCATGATGCTGGGCCGTTTTATTTTGCTCAGCGCTCAGCGCCGCCACCGGGCTTGCGATCGAAGTTCAAATCACGCAAACCGCCGAAGTGCTTGCCTCTTCTGTCCCAATGGTGCTCGCTAAACAATATACCCTCGGCCAATACCACCCGATGGTCCGTGCGCAATCAGCCGCCTAGTATAAAGGTCGACCACTCGCGAATCTAATTCCTCATACTTACCTTGATGGCACGGACCTCTTCATGTCTCGGGTTCTTGGGCTGTTGGGACCTTTCATAGCACGGCGACCTTGTCCTCAGAGGGTGCCTTCAGTTTGTGTGAGCTTCGGCTCATGCACTGTCTCAATATTTTCCTGTCCCACCACGGCCACTCTGGCTGGGTGGGCCTTTTCTTTGCTGGTTTGCTGTCCTAACCCTAACCCTAGTGTAGTCGAAAGTGGAAAACTGTCAATGAATGAATTTGATGAAATTGCCAATCCATCCATCCATCATCATCATCCGTTCATGAATGATGCGATTCGATCGTGTGTCGACTCGCCAAACTCTGAGGGAAATTGATTCACTGCCCCAGCTGCTAGTTCACTCGAACAGATACTCCGCATCAGCATCATTCATAAGGTAGAAGCTGTAGCCTGTCAGATCATTATATGTTTACTAAACATGCAACTCTTCGGTCCTACTAGTGAAATTCGTGGTTACGCGTCGACGGTTATTGATCATGCCGTAGCATCGCACGCAGGCCTACACCTAATGTCGCCTTCTCAACATGGTCTAGGAACATGGAACCTGAGGACTCTGAATTTGTGTTACGACGATCTGCTCGAGGCTAGTGGAGTGGAGTGTCAAGCTCGGTGATTGCCTCTGTTTTTCAGACAGCTAGGCTTCCCGCGAGCACAATGATGGAGTCCATGCGGTACGCGCGTTAATCGCTCCTTCTGTCAACCTTATGCTTATCCACTACAAGCGGCCCAGCAGTGGCTGTGGTGGGGGGAATGCGCCTGTTCATGTCGTCCTGGACTAGCTCAAAAATGACATTGACATATCGTCGGTAGACGATTTCGGCAATTTTTTGGACTTCTATCTGAAAATTTCGCTCGACGCCGTTCGACCGCTCTTCATGGACCCATGCGAACGGAATATGCTTTGTTTAATCACGACGAGCGCAAATTCGTGATTACAGAGGGTCTTTTCAGCGCTCAGGAGAAGTTCGGGTTAATTTAACAGTCTAAATTCCCGGCCAGGAACAATGACTTACACCCCAGTTGATCGTCATTTGCTCAGCTTCTCACTGTTCTCACAGTGACGTTTGTAATTTCGGAAAATCTACATCTCTGGGGATCTGGATCGCTGCATCATGATCCGTCCCTGCGCTCCTTCGAGCTTTTGGTTCCCTACACCTCGCGATATGCCGCCGTACCGACCATGGATGTGGACGTATGGAGAAAACGCGCAATTGTTGCGGACGCCCTAGGCAATAAAATGGTGGCGCCCACTAGCGCAATGCAAGGGGGATTCTCCTGAAAATCTTTTAATTGATCCGAGTCGTCTTCTTTCCGTCGGTAGTCTCATCATTTCTGCATTCGCATCCGCCTGCATCTCCTATCTCCAGGGGCGGAAGGACTTACGCCTCATTGCAACATCGCAACGATGGAGCGTCGTAACACAGCGGTCAATCTGGCCAGTGATGTCAGTACTATTATTATCTTTCAGTGTGAAAGGTCTAGTGCCGGGAACCTTCGCTTTAGCGGCACCGATAATGTGAAACGATGGCGGTTCCACAAAGATAATTTTGGTCGCAGGCTTGAAGTTGGTTCGGGGACCAGCCTCTGGTATTCCTGTGCCACGTACTCTTTCCCACAAGCCAGGAGCCGTAACTCAACGATGGTCGCATTCGCAGCAACGAATGAACGCCCTCAATCAAAGTTTATTCCACTGATGCGGCAAGGTGCCATCTCTGATCAAGGCTGTGTCGCTGAATGCCACTAGTTCTTGGCAACATTTTCGAGTCAGTTCTGGCTTACGCGTCGCACGGCTGACTCTTGACCTGTCAGCATATCTCAAGTCAGACTTGCGCCAGGCTGACTCAACTTGCCCGTTTATTGTTCGGAATCTGGGGTTTTCTCAGTACCGAGGTTCCACCATCAGCGGAACGGTGACCATGGTTCAGGTCAAGTATTCTTATTATAGAAGGTGTGCCTTCTCCTTCGAAAGCCACAAAAACTTACGTTCTCACCTAGAACGACCCCCCCTGCGGCACCATTTTTAAATCCCGGTCCGGCGCTAATTGGAGGTTCGCACAGCGTCTTACAGCGTGCACAGCAACGTCGGGCGGCAGCATCGATTTTCCTCGTGTTCTACGTTCGAAATAACAATGCGCACCACATGCGGTGTACCGAGCATGTCCAGAATGCAGAAACACGAAATGAATGAGGGTTACCCTTGAAGAAACGACGCGTGGCCAACATTCTCGCAAGGCACGTTTCAGGGCACCACCGATAAGTTCCATTAAATGCTCGCACACTACGAATTACACATCGTACCGGGTGACCGCTGGTGGTTGCGAGGAGGGAGTCGCCATGGGCTGAGATACCCGTACACTAGTTTTGTAGAATCGGAATGACTGCTTGATTAGCAATGATGGAGCGTAACGATGGAGCGGATGTCCTTCCCGGCCGTTTGTGTAAATTGGCCTACTTGGCTTGTCCTGTGCAACCATCATCCTCGATAACCGTCGGGGATCGAAGGCCTGCTTGTTGATTGCGGCAAGGTCCGCATTTTTGACAGGATGACCCCAGCTACGCAGGAGAACGGTAGAGAATGCTTTGTTTGTCGATCCTACCACTTAAGCGACATGGGCGCACTGCCTCACAAAACATGGTGGATGCATCAGATTGTATCTCGGAAATTGGGTCGCGTGATGTACACTACAAAGAAATTCCTATTTGCAGTGATATTGTGTCGAACTGATCATAAGTTCTCTGATGTTCTCGCGATCGTTGATGAAAGGGGCGGTGCATCGATACAATACTGATCAGGGCATACCACACACTGCTGTATATATACAGGAATTTCATTAAACTAGGCCGCTTCTCATTTGGGTCATAGAACGGGGCTATGCATAACGTGCAGCCAGGCCAGGGATCCCAATGCCGCAGCCGCATTTGCTAGTTTTCCATTCCGACGACCGTGCACGTTCACCTCGTCGATCGGGAGTGCCGTGTAAACCCCCGAGTATCGTGGTATCCGAAAGAGATTTAGCATGCGTATGAAACGAGAGAAACGAGTTGTAAGATGGTGCGCTGCGGACTCTATAGATGCTTTGACATACCGCATCAAGTTTGGATGAGCGCTGCGGGAGAAGCATTCAGGAACGGAGGTTGAGAGGGAGCGTAACTTTCGCGGGTAGCTCGATCAAAAAGGATGGATAGCGTCGATGGCAGATTTCATAATATGGGGCATTGCCACGGCGAGGACCATGTGGTTGCAAACCGACAACGGCTGAAAAAGGAGTTTTTGGGGAGGATCGACAGGGAGAATGACTTTGCGATGCTAGGCTGTGATAGTAGTGGGAATCGGTGACTGGGAGGGTCATCCTGGGCTGGTGGACTGATGATTTCAAGGTAGATGTTGGAGGGAGGAACCCATGTAAGGATTAGACACATTGCATTGTCAGCTATCGGAATTTCGCCAAAGTCCAACGAAGTTCCAGGCCCCCTAATTTAGTAGTAAGTTCGGGGTTGGGAATGGATGACTGATTGACTTTGATTTTGGTATGAATACCGCGATATATCAAAATCAAGAGGTATTCCATCGTTTCGGATTCGACGGGACGTGAGTCGACAGCATACGTAAAGCGCATCAAAGAAAGATTTATTCAATGACGATATGAATGTCAGGTTGCACATGCTCGATGTGCCTAGTATGCCATTTATGTAATTTTTGGGGAGGATGAACGGTCATGCAATGGTGCACTATCATGCGCGGACAAGCTAATGATTACCGAGTTGATCGGCATCTTGAGAGCGACTTGGCGAGATAGATGGAGAATAGGTAACGAGAGAGGTAAGAGAAGATGCGACGGCAACGCAAACCTGATGAAGCAGATGCAGAATGAACCAATCGGGAATTCCCGAGTCGATGAATTGTGACATGATGGGGATTAAATGGAGAATTCTGAAGGAGCCCATGGAGGGGGGCCGCCTTCGTCGGTGTAGGCTTCAGTGGAACGCTTATCAGTTCAGTTGGTCAAGGATATTGCCGAAAATAAACAATAAATTCCAAATTATTACGGCAACTTCGGCCGGATCCAGGATGAAGCCGACGTACCCATCGGCAACAGTTTGTCCATTTATGGATAACTACCCCGGCCGGATATACATGTATAGCGGAGGTTAAAAAGACAGGCACTATTGATGCCAATAATAAATCTATTGGAATTCTCACAAAACCTCTACCTTCCCCCTCTGACAAGCGTCAATATCTTTCTTATTCCTATCCTCATCCCTTCTTCATCTTGTTATTATATTTTGCTGTCTTTTTAAACAAACAGTCAGCGTCTTTACTGCACAGCAAATCGGTTATCCCGATCTATCATTCTTCACTTCAATTTATCCCCTACCACCACACCATTCACAGCAGATGGCGCTACTTCGTTCAGAGTCAAACCAATATCTCAACGACCTCGATTACCGCTCTAACAGTCCGTCAAACAAGCCTTTGAACCTAGCAGCAAATTCTCCTTTTGAATCTTACGAGTTCGGCCATCTATCTCCTCCATTCCCCCATACTCCCTCATACAATGGATCCTATCAAAACTCTCCCTACTCTGGTCATTCAGAACTCAGTTATGATCCAGATGGTCCAGAGGCTTTTGGTGGTCTCTTTGACAGAGATGCAAACAATGTAGCTTCTCGCGACGAATATGACCCCTCCGAGTATGATCCACCAAATTCTTCTGGTTTGCTCATGTTTCAAAGCGAATACCTCCCTGAAGTTGATCACAATTCACTCTCCGTATCTCGCGCTCCATTCGATAACCGTCCTCCAAATGCTTTCGATCATAGTTCTCCATCTAGCAACGGTGGAGGGGATGAACCGCGCAGTCGTGCTTCTTCAGTATCTTCAAACCCTCAAATTCCCACGTCATCCCCACGTCTCGATATGGCTCATTCATTCGAAAATCTTCATTTTGAATCCCCCCATTGGCAGCTTCATAATCTTCCCGGCGATCGTCCAATGTCTCCCCCAAGAAAACCCCAGTCTCCCCCTCAACTTTTAATTCCTGATAGCAGTCCAGCAGCCCGTTCATTATTCCCTCAGGATCCTCCAATGATCAACGCTCCGGACGGTGATGGTGGTTTTACCTCCAGCGGCCCTCAATTGCACATTGTTCCTGCTACCCCCATAAGTGGCGGGGGAGCGGCTTCACAAGCAGTCCCTTTTCAATCTACCCTGAAAACTCTCCATCAAGGCAAGTTGACTCCGTGATGATTCTTGTTTATTTCGGGAATTCATAATTTGCCTTTTATATTTTTGTTTGCGTCTTACGTCCGTACAGGATCAACGCAAAATGCGCCACAGCAACAGGCTGCGACCCCCCCTTGGGATCAGCAACAAATTCAACATACCGAGGGATCTCAATTACTCGGGGTGTCACAACAGGGAACACAGCAATACCCGCACAGCCACTCTTCTCATACACAGGGGCTGTCCACTCTCGGTCCCCATCCTGATCCTACAAATACCAGCTTCTTGTTCCCGGGTACTAACCCCCGCATTCGTAGTAAATCCGACACTTCATCTTCTTTACGTCCAACATTCTGGGACTCTTCTCTCATGACCCACGAACAACTCAGAGCTCTTAACAGTTCTGCTATTGACGACAACGGCACCGTCAACCTCAGCGACGTCCTTCCGCAGCACCAACATCAATCGCAGCATCCCTCCAGCACCAGTGTTAACCAGACATCGTTCAACAACTCTTCTCATACCCAGCAGCAGCAGTTCAACTTTGGGAATCCCAACACTCCATCCAACATGAACTATCTCACTCCCGATGCCATAGCGCTGCGCAGGTCCAAATCTGACAGCGGCTCGCGCCCAACCCACAACCGCCTCTCACGTTCTGAAGACATCTCTCATTCCTCTCCCCTCCTCTTCCCTCCCTCATCCCACACGGATCTCATTAACCGTCAGTATCTCTACCCACAAGAGACCGTGCAATCCATTCGCATGCACAACCGTCGGGCATCCTCGGGCTCACGCGGTGGGAACGACGGCAGCTGGAGTGGACTATCATCTAACCGCCCAAGCCCGTATCCCAGTCCATCAGCCAGCCCGCGTGTACGATACGACGATCTACCCAATGTCTCCCTCGCTGGACGTCCATCTATGCTTCGCCCAGACCCTGCCCAAACCATGGCGAACCAGATCTCTGTCACAAAGCAAACTGTGACCAGTGAGCGCACGGCTGGGGCCAGTCACCGGCGCCGCAAGCAGGATGCCAACTTCCTGTGCCCAGTGCCTGGGTGTGGCAGCACGTTTACGAGGAGTTTCAATCTGAAAGGTAATTAAATTTAATATCGGCTCATGCAAGTGATATTGACGTGTCTATTTAAGGTCATATGCGTTCACACAATGAAGAGCGGCCATTCCAGTGCAAATGGCCGGGATGCGGCAAAGGGTTCGCAAGGCAGCACGATTGCAAGCGACACGAACAGCTTCATTCGAATTATCGCCCGTTCACGTGCGATGGCTGTAATAAGACCTTTGCACGAATGGATGCCCTGAACAGACATTGTAAGTGCTGTGTCTTCTTCATGCATGACACATTGCTTATCGAATTTCCTTTAGTGCGTTCTGAGGGCGGTGCTGACTGTCAACGAATTCTCGATGCTGCAAAGCAAGAGAGTGACCATGGCCCTGTACCCAAGACGGAGGAAAATGGGTGGACCAGCATGAGTGTCATGGTATAATGCTCCTCCATCCTCGCCATCTCGATACGCGGCAGCCCCCTCTAATAACTGACTTGATATGTCTAATCTACATCCCATACATTTCAACACCAAGACTGCTTACCATATTCCTGGGACGCTCCTGCGGATTCTCGCTTGACCAAAGATTTTGCTATACTACCCTTTTCGCTTTTTCGTCTTGTCATTTATGATGTTATTGATGCACCTTCGTATGCTAGTCATCGTACCTAAGTATCATTGTAGTCTGCCTGCCCCCGCTCTACCTTTATTATTTGTCCCCGTGATCCTCATCCTTGTAGCGTAGTCATCCTAGATACGGCGGTTGTCGGTCTGATCATCATGTCGTATATTTATACAATGGAACTAAAAATTTCAACGATCAAACTCGTTCGAGCTCTTCATTATGGCGATGTCCACCGGGTGCTGTGTGACCGGAACTATAATTCCATCGAGCACGAACTTCAGAATTTTTTTCATTTTAGTGACAAGACAGATGCGGGGCTGTACACGCCTACTTGTTGACTAGCGCTAATCATGAACACTGCCTCGTCCGATCAAACAGCCTGGCAAAGTTCAAAGTTCAAAACGAACCACCCCGGGATACCCTCGGCTTTTACACTGCCCCGACGAAGACGCGACTTGACTAAACGAACTTCCCTCTTCTTCGCAAGATGGAAAACACGCCATCTTGGATCATACCTGTGTGCGTGAGCGCCGTTGACTCGTTCCGCAACACGGAGAATTTCGAAATAGCGTGCTAGTTTACACAGCCCTGTCTGGGCGGATAACATTGTTTCGAGGCACAATCGCGATCCGTGTGGCGTTGCTGCCACATCACTACTGTACATACAGACTGGGAATTTACTTGGATATTTGACCATCGCGGGCGTCGCAGCATAAAGCCCGCGGCGACTTGCGAGGACAGGCTATGTCGATGAAACTCAGCCCCACATATCGTACGGATGTCACAATTAAGATATTGGCTATAGGTAAACCGAGTAGGAGCGTCGATAATTAATTGACTACCGTAGCTGCGCTAATAATATGATATGCGCTTGTATCGTTGATCATAGCCTACAGCTTATGAACGCACAGAGTCAAGGTCCGAGATCGACAAGATCACGGTTACTTGAAACGCTTAGGCTGGCGGTGCCGCAGTATTTGTTGTAGTAGCGTCCTATGGGACAGAAATGTCAGCTAGGCGCTACGGGCGCGCTGTGGAGCCAATCTACTGAGGTGTTATGGCATCCAGGGTACGACATTTTGATAGTGTTGCACGCGACGATCCCTTTCGAAATTCGGGTGCTCTTCTGTTATGGTTGGCGGGTGATGCTAGCGCTTTGGAGATTCTCCGGGCACAGTAGATGGCGGCATTCTGCCGCAGTCATGACGAAGCCAAATGCCGCCGAACTGAGACCAGTAGTCAACTAGTCATCGACTAGCTAGTCAGACATTGTAAGGGGCACAGCACAGTATAATCGACCTCAGTATAAATTTTTCCAGGATCAAGTCCGATGACGAAAGGGATTTCAAACCCGACAGATATCATTGGGGAAGAGATACGACATGAGAAAGCTTGAGTCGAAATACCCCTGAGTGCCTCCGCGATTGAGCTTGAGCATCTTGTCCTGGAATATCGGAGTTAAAATTAGTCTTGTGCGACATTGACAGTTCACAGAACCAGACTGACTGTCAAACTGCCCCGTGAAAGCTGGAGATAGAAGACCTTGTTTTCTTCAGAGTATAGTCTTACATATGAGGGAAGACTCGGAGATCCGACATGAGGCTAGTGTACCCCTGAGGCTCCCGCGACGATGTATAGATGACATCGGTGTTAAAGGTGATCTCCTGCTATGAGTGACGGCGTGTCAAGCGGCGATGTCGAGATTGACTAGCACATAGGACTTGGTAGGCTATTCGGCGCTAATGTGTGGCGAAAAACAGCATGCGTCGAATGGTTTTCAAAAGGATTTTATCATCATAAAAATGATGTCAACAACAGCTGTTACTGAAGTCGTAAAGTCAAGCAACGGCATATTCTCGCCATTGTGCTGACACTGGAGTAATATTGACAATAAGTTCGAAGGCCGCATTCTCGACGCATTGATTTGACGTGCACAATGGACAATCTTGACCGCTGTGGCTCCGACCTCGGAAGACACCTACTTATCGAACGGTTTGAAGTTGGGTACCGATCAGATAAGCCCTAGATCCAACACCATGACACTGCGGATCATGGCGTCTTCGAGCTAATCCTCATGAAAGCAAGGTACCCGAGCCCCTGCCTGGTCTTCTAGCTAGGCTGCGAATGAGATATGAACTATTAATGTTCATGTTCATGTTGGGATGGTGCTCGGATAGCTTGAATAACTTAACCGGAACTAAAAACAGTCTCGTCAGAAAAATAATGAGTAGACTGAACTCTGACCTGGGCCTGGATATTCGACGATGTCAAGCAAACTTATATTGACATTTGTCAGACCGTCGACCCTGCAGTTTGATAACGTATGTTGACTCCTTGTAGACCGCCGACCGTGTAGTTTGATGACTGTGGTGTAGCTAGGCGGAGCCTGTGTTCCAGAAAGGTTGGGCGCGCTGACCTGAGATAAGTTAGTACATGATAGCCTAAAACGCACATTCTCCGTATTTGATATGTGCAACCACATGCAACATAACACCATGATCTACCAATGAGGGACTAGCTGTGAGATCTGAAGTAGCGGCGGCGTTCGGTCAAGCACAGTATTTGGATGGCTGACAAGAGTTAATTGCGAGACGATTTTGTGTTTAGTCGATTAGTGAGTTGAATGAGATAGTATGGCTTTTGCGAGCTCGAGTTACTTGATACGCCCAACTTCACGGAAATGGCAACTTGCATCAGTGCAATACCGAGATCTCCGGCGGATATGTCCATGTCAATGACGGGGACTTGAAGTTATGCCCCGTCTGCCCCGTGACTGAAGAAATAACTCGATTGGGTCAGTTGAAGGGGCCCGAGGGCTAATGATAATGAGTCACTCGGGCTCCCAGCCGTGTCTGTATCTGAACTCACCTTAGTATTTCAAGTTGCGACATGCCTCAGTCGCTGAGCTGATTTGACCAGGGCAGTGAACAGTGCACTAATAATAATAACGTTCAATGCAAGTCAAATTCGATCGTGCCCGTTATTCAGCCACGACGTTGACGACCGCGGGCTGCGCCTTCCACGCTGTCAGATATGGGGTATTGAGAGTGTGTAACAAGAAAATTGAAGTGATCATTCAATACCGGGGTGTTCCGATTCCTCACGAAGACAAACCAAGTCTGACGAACGTTATTCGGGATTATAGAGAAGAACAACGGCCGACATAGGATCAAAATACTCCCTGCAGCATATACAGTGACACGATCCATGACATGACATCCTATTCATCCTTGAGCGCTTCAACTTCCGCAATTTTGAATCAAGGGCATTTCTCGTCATTCAGTATACCACAACCTCCAAGGACAACAGTGTCATATCAGCCCCCCATCTTCGCATCATCTTCATCATCTTCAAACCCAACAAACGGTCTACGAGCTTTCAAGGCTCCAGCTCATAAACATGCACATCATCTGCACTCTATCCCTCCTAGGGAGAAATCTACCCGAACTCTCATAATAGATCATATGTTATGGGTTCATGGCCGAACCCGATTTACCCAGGCCCGCGCTGAGCTCGGAATGACCGACCGAACAGGAGGCCCTTCTTCGCCTAATTATCGTTACCGCGAACGCCCGGAGTCATACGAGGAAGAAGATGAAGCGTCAAGTGACGGTGAAAATGTTGAAATGCTCAAAGCCAGAGAGGGTGGTCCCAATCATCCTCATAACGAGGATGAGGACAATCGTCGACAGAGACAGGACTTGACCCTGGCAAGGACTCTAAGACTCCGTGCTATTGGTCTCGAGAAGGTCGTCACATCAATGCTCGACCAGCCTCCTCCTGTGCACCCAATCCTCGATGGCGATCTGAATACACCACCTACATCCCCACAGCGTCCAGAATCACAACAGTCACCTCATCGTGCAACATCCAGCCACCCGCACACTCTTCCGAATGGTGTTCGTTTACGGTTAGCGTTGGGGACTGTCATCAATGACTTATTTGCACGTCAAGCCCCTCCCCCTGCATACCGACACCATCACCATCCTCCACCAATCATTGTTTCTAGTAACTCAGATCAAGCGTCTTCAAATGGTCGAAGTCCAGGAAACTCTCCTGCAATGCAGAAAGCATCGCCAGTATCTGGGAGCGGCAGTAGCATGACCTCTGCGCAAGGAGCTACTGGCAGCCTTCCCCCATCAGTCGTCTTGCTTTCGCAGGTATCAGCTGCAGCACTTTCTCAGACATCTCTTATTCCCATGGGTGACTTTCGTGCACCTTCTCCACTGCAGGCACCACAAATGATGCAGTCTCGTGTGAGTTCCCAGTTCTGAAATCAAAGTATCTATTATTGACGATGCTGTCTTAAAGAACCGAAGGTCAAAGTTCATGCCCAGTAGCCGTGTATGCACTATGTACATGCAGGGCGCCGATCCCTCCACCGCCAATTCGCCCCCTGGCTTGCGGTGCCCACGACATCTTCATACTGGATGTGACATATGTGTTGAAGCCAAACATTCCGTCAAAGCACCGGGCGGATCTGGCCGAGCACGCCCACCACCTACTGCAATGGGCACCAGAAGCTTTGGAGACTGGGAAGGGGGACTAGGTGGCTCGAATGGAAGTATGGGTGGTAGTGGAGGTGGTATCGCTGGCTGGCAAGATGGCCCCGGTGTTGGATCGGGCTTGGCTCAGCCGGGTGTGGATGGCAGCGTATTGCGCCGGAAGTCGAAGTGGTTCATGACTGAATCTGAAGAGGAACAGTCAGGTGCTGGCGCTGGGAACACTCGGCTGTCAGAGCTTATTCCGCGCTTTTTGAGGCTTTCTGCCCTTGTCGCAACGGAGCTTGGGAGAAGAGCTTGGGGATGATGAGTATGAAGGCGACTGGCAACGGGGTTCCGAAATGTCCGCTCAATTTCCGACTTCGCCTCGGCCCTCATCCCGAAGATCTCAAACCACCGAGTCGCGCTCTGCACCTCCTTTACGGCCTTCGCGAGAATGGTATATGCTTCTCGCGAGCTTACTTTCCCGTGCTACCCTAGAGGGTTATCTTACTGGAGGGTGGTGGGGTCTAGAGGCTGTTGAATGCCTTTTATCAGTTGGCTTGGGTATCACCGACGATGGGTTGGGTCAAGTCGATTCATCGGACGATGCAGACTCTGCATTCGCATGGTTTGAACCAGACGATTTACCTAGTCTCAAAGAAGCGACAAGAATCATGTTTCCGGCATTGCGAGCTGCCCGAAACGGGACGCCCATTCGAAGAGAGGGCGCCGAGGCTGAATTTGAAGCTGAAATGGATGAGCGCCTCAGAAGGGTGAGATCTTTGTCTTGACGAAGTATTTCAATCTTTAACACTCCATTTGTCCTAGTTCTACACGATACCGTCTTTGACGCCGGATCTATCCACCCACATGGAGGATCTGGCATGGCATTACCCTGCTGAGCCTGTTGAAAGGGCAGCACTACGCTTCTGTGAAGCAATTGCAAAGTGGCGTGGTAAACCTGAACTCGAAACCGTGCGTCTTCTTTCATGAATCTCAGGCGTTGTAGCTAATATCGTCTAGTACAAAAAGAAACCACCAAAAGATGTAGGAGGATCTAGTATGACCATCGAAACTCTAGTACATTCCAATCCAACGAGTCCCACGATGGGAGCGTACTCGATTCAGCCATCGAGATCCCAAAGGCCTGCTATCGAAAAATATTTCATTGTACCGCCCTCGTACATAGGAAGAGGCAAGCGCAGAAGATCGGACGGTGAAGCCGAATCATCGAACAAGAGGGCCCATGGGTGATGGCGCGTTGTGCATGTATTTTCAGCTTTCTACCTCGTTAAGCTTATTCGTTTGCGCTGTAGTGATAATACTTATTGCAGCTTTGTTGTTTGTATAATATATTGTTATTCCGTTTGTTATAGCTCAACTTGTTTTCAGTGCGTACATGAGGTTATATCATAGCTCAAATTCAAAATGCCTCTGCTTGCGCTCCATGATTGTGCGTCTTTTTGGATGCTGGATGAACTATCGTATGCGCCGCCTGTTACTACATCGAAGGATCTATCAGCTCTGTCGGGTGTGTAATTCGCCTATGTTACTTCCTTCCTTTGTTCACTGATCAATTATTCTAGACTTCAAGATGTTCATATTTAAAGTTGGGCACCATTTCATGACCGAGACACGTCCTTTGCGGACGTGGCTCATGATGCAGTGCATGTATTTAATTCTTTGACAACGACTTGAGCCATATTTGTATTCATGTTACTCCATCGTGCTTGCTCCTCGTCGAGGGGTAGGTCAAGAGAAGACAGAAAATACAACAGGTCTTCGTCTACCATCTGACCTAGACTTCCTATCATTGACATAGGGGCCCATTGGTTGAGACACGTAGAATGGGACTAAAAATACGGTTCGTGCAGATCTCGCCGATGGATATTGGAATAACATTTATATTAATATCGTTGAATCATAGCTGTAGGTAATCTCCACCATGTCGAGGTACTTTTCTGGAAGATGGATGTTGGTCATCAACGTTTCAACCCAAAGGAGCTGATCGATTACATTGGCCTCGACTCGACAGATCTTCAGACATACAAAAGCGGTGCATGAAACATCATGCATCAGATCTCCAAGCCACGCTTTCCTATCGGGGCCTCCAGTCCCCAGATGATGGACGGTCCATGCTATTTTAGCTAATTCCACACAAAGGAAATTCAACTGCAAAGGCGACATTTAAACATTTTCTTCCGCTCGATTTATAGGAATTTAGGTCCATGATGTCATATGCAAGTCTTGTCATAAAATGGTTCCGTGGTGGTATTTATTTGCTCCCACCGCTGATCGGGCGATCAGTAGCAGATGAAACAAAAGCGTCCTGTAGCCAAGACTGTAGCTATCCGGACCTGGCCCTTGGACAGCTGGATACTGATTTTTCTGTTATTGTTGGCGTCTGAGGTGAGCACAGCACATCAAATATCTGAAACAGGTACAAACATACGCAGCTGGTGTGAGGAATACCACTGCTTCACTGACGATAGAATTCCCTTTGTACCGCTCTGATGAGCCACTCACTTGGATATAGAAATGTCCTTGATCTCCGTATCTGTAGTGAATCAACTTTCACTCGTTTATGAGCCCCGTCGAACTGTGAACCTTACACAGGTGTGTTTTCGTGTTTTACATAGTAACTCTACAGCAAAATGTTGATGGCGATGAAACTATTCACATCGTATCTACCTAGTCTATCTCGCTGATATCTCTGTAGCAACATAACACCATCTTGCAGCGGTATCAACTCTCATGATATCCATGGTAATGGCCATGTTAATTGAAGAAGAAAAAAACTCAAACCTAGGTCAGTCAAGACAGCCGTGGGTGCATCTCCTCATCGATTGTTACTGATAAGAACATCTTCGGTGTAATCCGTAAATGCCATGCCGTTGGATGATTCGGCAAAATTAGACTTCTATTGTCTTTGATAACATAAGTTTCCTCGAATTCCGAGGCATTGGGCTGTGCCTTTGACAGGATGACGGTATGATGCCCGATAAATGGATGTACGCATGGACATGCTACCATAACCCTGAACTCCTTGTATTCATGCCTGAAGGTGATATTAAGGGAGGTCGTTCGAATACTACTTTCTGATGTAGAACCATCATGGACACTGGCAGCAACGATGTGGATTTGAAGACAGTATTTGGCTGAACTATTACAACAAGAACGTTAAGCAAGAGTCAGGGGCTATGTTGGAACGAGTATTTCGCCAATCAGTTTGGATTGCCATGTGCCATGTGCGATGCGTATCCGTTCTCGCTGAAATTTTGACGTGAAGAAGCTTGTTACAGGATGCCGAAATATTGACGTGCATATGCATCCCTAGACCTCGATCGGTATATGCCAGTGCCATCACGTACATACGAGTCCCACTCAAGAACTTTCCCAATTCCGATCACGCCCAGATCACAAAAGGTAGCAGCACTAGTCCAGCGTGCATCTTGAATAGGCATTTAGTTTATCTGTAACGTTCATCAACTATACATGACACGGAGTAAGTGTAAAATACAAAATGCGTAGTCCTGGTAGGACATGTAAGTAATACCGTGCCAGGATTCATTATTATCATCAATTTGGCTCTAAAAGGCCTAGAAATACATAAAATGCGAGACCTGTGTAGTGCGTTCGTTATATCCTACGAGTTGATAAGCATCGATTCTAATAGACTAGCGTATCGCTCACCATCTTGGTCGGATCTCTCGTTCGGGATAGAGATGCATCAGAATTTGGTCAGCCCTGTACTCAGACTCTATTTCGGATTGCGAAGGGCGGTGACTCGAGCATGGTACACCCGTTTGCGGTCTGCGATTTTCCGTGCCTCTCGTAACGCGAGGAGCTTGCCCATAATCAGGTCGCCGACCCCGTTCGTCTGGTATTCTCCTATCAGACATGTTCGTCCCTCCCCGTCGCACGCCGAGCTCGGGTCCCCTCTCAGTCCGCCTCATCTCTGACATCTTGCGTTTCCTCTGTTCCTCTTCAGCTGATCTACGAGCCATGGTCATCTCTTGCAGATAGTGCTCTGTCTCACGCGCTCGGGTGGATGCAATCTTGTATGTGCCCTCGCAGTAGAAACCTCCAGGGACACCGCGACATTGGTAGACACCTTTGACGGTTTGCGGGTTATTGGCGTAGTGGCAGTCTCGTTGGCTGCACTTGTTGTGGAATGGTGATGGCCATCCGGGAGGAAGAGCAGATGTTTTAGGCTTCTTCGTAACTATCAGTCAGGTCGTTAGTGACCGGGCAAAGGAGCAGGCAGCGAGTACTAACAGAAAATCATGATGAGAATCGTTAGTGCTTAATAGTGTACAGAGGGAGAAAATCTGAAGGGGTAGAAGAAGTAGAGTTAGTACTTATGACACCATAGGTTTATGCTAATAACCCACGGCACCTCGACCCGGACACGCAGTCACTTCGTGTTTGGAGTAGTAAGGACAGAGCGGTGCTTGGTGACTGATGCGGCATGTTTCGTCGACGCTAGAGTTACGTGTGCACCCGTCCTGCCAGATCGCCGAAGATACAAGCCATAATTCGGATCACGGATGATAAATTTTGGTAATAGGAAATACCGGGGCCCCATTGCTGCTGGACTAGTGATGATGCGACAACAAGATTGAATAGCTCAAGTTGGACTCGGCGAGGCTCGGGTAAATGTTAAATTGACACGTCTCAATGCCAAGGAGTAACTCAAGGAGGCATTAAGTTGGTACTGCGCGCGATTCGTGAATCACACTTACCTGCACAAGCTGCCTCAGGGCTGCCAGCCTGAGTGAAGCTAGAGCTCTGCAAACCTGTTTGTCAATTGGATGACAAGATTCGGTTGAGTCTTCCTCCAATCATTGAGCTCCAACGAAAGATGGTTACGATATAGCTAAAAGGTCGGCGTCTAGACTCTCACGGTTCCCACCAGGGTTTATGCCTACTATTAATTGTAGGTAAAATGTGTCATGGGCGTGAATCAGGATATCCCAGGCTAGTAGGGCTGATTCAGACGTTTAGGTAATGGGCAAGCATTCCTCACTCATTGAAACGGACTCCATTCAATGAACCACCATCTGCTGTTATTGGAAACAATGAATAAAATCGAAGCTCATAGCAGGGCCCAGGCCCATGTGCATGCAAACTGTAAAAATTTCACGAGGCATCAGACTCGGCCACAGCAGTCACGGTGGTGTTCTCAAATTAATTCAACTTGAAGACGGCTGTTCAGCACGTTGCCTCTATATTACTTTCACGGCACGAAACGGAGATGAGCCGTTTGATGAGCCTAACTTGCGTGATGATTAGGGCAAAATGCACCTTACACCTGTTGATGCCAAATGAGAATGTTTATGCTTGCCAGTGGGCACGAGCTGGCCTGTTAGGCTGTTGTTTGGCAAAAGCTTCTGAAACAAACAAACGACCTGCCGCATCCTTGACCACTACCTGCAACCAGTAAGTACTAATAACAAATATAATGGGTCTTAAGCGGTCTGCAGAAGATGATCTCTTACCAACCGGGAAAGTAGCTAGAGCCAAAATAGAAGGCGATTATGCTCTCGCCTTCCCAAGCCTTTCACATCCAGTTTCACATTCACCCGCGTTTCAGCGCCCTAGTCAACTTATCACGTTTTCGTATTCACCCTCTCGCGTTCTACAATTTGACGACTCTGCATTGCGCTATTTCGTCAATCCACCGCATGGTGCAGATCTCAATCACGGGTACAAAAGTTGGACACGGCGTCCAGAAGAACGTGGACGCATTGATGGTTTGTTGAGCGCGTGGTCACGGTTCAAGAAAAACCTCAATGGGCAAAATCCCGAGATTGGAGTGATAAGCTGGAGAGGGGTTATCACCAAGTGAGATGTCATTCCATTCACTGTATGATGTTTGTTTACCTGAGGAATGCTTTTGGTGAGGGAGAATATTGACAGCACCTTACGAAGAGCGAGATGCTTGGGAGCTCAATGTGATGTGTGTCGACGGTACTATGTACTTTGAGGAGCATCTTTCAGATGCAAGATTAAAGGAAAAGTGAAGTCTTTTCACGTCTTATATGCGTGTCTTACTCATGTCGAGGAAGGAGCGACCTGGAACCTCGGCAGCTGCTCCAGTCTTACTATGGATATTCATTTGAATCGTATTGCACATCATCGACTCCGAACGAACGTAATCAACATGCTTCTGGTTCCTCCTCTGGTACCTCGGGCGCTGTTGGCTGGGGCGGCGATGTTGATACCAATGTTCAGTGGTGCAGTGTTGTTAAGACCAAGTTGGGTGATACACGGATCATCATTGGTGGAGAAGTAGACTGCGTTCGAGGTATGTGCCAATTTGCGTCAATAGATAGGAGACGTTATTTGGTTACAGGAGGATATACCGGAAATACTGACAACTTCGTGGAACTCAAAACTTCACTATCAATACGTGGCGCACAAGACGAAGCCAGGTTTGAAAAGTAAGTATCATCTGCGTTTCAGACGACCACACTTCCTTACACTGAGACAGAAAGCTTTTGAAGTTCTATTTCCAGTCATTTCTGCTAGGAGTTCCGGTATGCATAATGACGCTGGAACAGGACCTTCTAAATACACCGCATTATAGGAGATCTTTGTTGGGTTTAGGAAGCCCTCAGGATACTTGACGACTACGCAAGTCTTTCAGACTGTACAGATACCTCGTCTGGTTCGGGGAAAGCCTGGCGCGTGGGACCCTAATGTCTGTCTAGCATGGGGAGACCAATTTATAACTTTCCTCACGAACACCGTCAGAGGAGGCTCGAGGGGTAATGTCTGGCGTATCAAATTCACGCCAAAGATAGGGGTCTCTGTTGTTTTGCTAGACGATGTGGACGTCAGGGACGTTGAAGGAGGAGAACGCCGCGTGGGATTTCTTCCAAGATGGTATTGGGAAGAAATAAATGGTGCCGTCGCGTATGACTCAGAAGTTAAGAGTCCAAACAAGGAGTGAAGGAGCGTCGTCCAAGGTAGGAATGGTCGTAGTGCCTTTTGTCGGAAGATATAAACTAAATGGGTCTTCATAGATCATATGCCCATCTGATCGAAACTCATAACTGTCAGCTGGGCTAACCAACTATTCTCGCGAGATGTCTTTTAGACTCACGTGAACTCCGGTTATCTTGCCGTCGGCCTATTTGTATCCTGTTATCTCAATCTCATGCCGTGCAACCGGCTGATCCCCATCGATCGAACATAACCCACTTAAACCATATGGTTTCTGTTCAACTCACTCACTACACACTCCCGACCAACATACAGGAAAGTGTAGATAAAAACGATGACTGTTTCGTTGAACGTGATGAATATTTCTCTGTGAATTCTGAACCATTATTAGCTATTTGCGGGTAAAAACAGGCACAAACCGGCGGGTGCGGATAAATCAGCCCGTGGGAATTCGGATGAATAAGACTAGCGCGTCGTCGCGCGTGCCCCATTCCTTAACGCGCTCCCCGACGTCCCACACAGCGACCAGTTTCCTCTCTTGGTCCCTAGGTCCTACATCTGACGGACAAACGCTGTCACTGTGACATATTGTGCTTTATTCTGTATATAATCACTAGAAACTCCCAGCGACGCGCTCCTTATGGTGACTCCGTCGTCTTCGGTGACCTCAGCGTCCCCGCCAACGACCTACCTACAGCCCTACAGCCCTTCTACATCGATGGATGTTGATCCAATTGAGAAGGAGGATAGGCTGAAAGCTATCCAGAAAGTCATGGCGAGTACGGAGCTTTCGATGGTGAGTCATTTCATTCCAGACTGAGCACTTCGCGGGACGCGTTGGCAGGCGGCCATTCGCGCCAACGATATGGAGGGGCATTCAGAGTATTGTTTACTCTGCGCTGCTCGTATACCGGATCCCCCGCTGAGATTGCTGTGTGTGGGGCGCGGTCGTGATATAATAAGAGAATACTAACATACTCCTCTCTTCCTCTCCTAGGTGACGCGCAATCTTCGCGCCCGTCTGTCGTATGCCTCATACAAGGCCACCCATAATATTCCTCATGTCAAACTGATCGACCTCGAGGCGAAAACCCGTGCCCTGGCTGCTGCTCCACCGCGCCTGATCGGCACTAAGCGCAAGGCCACCACCGGCAATAACTATTACAACAATCCCGCTACACAGGGCACAGTCGCAAGGCGTGGAGCTATGGCTCCTCCCGCCGTATCTGCGACTTCTGCTCTATCCGTTCCCCGTTCCCACTATCCCACGACTGTGACAGGTTCCAGTCCCAACGCGACTCAGAGCCTGTTTACCACCCTCCTCGGGCCTCCTCCATCGAAACAAGCTCGAACAGTTCGCAACTCAACAGATCCTCCTGTCCAGGCAGCCGCCCGCTCGACTGCCGGATCTCGGTCCCGAGGATCGGACCGTGCGTCTGCCGTACGCAGCATAGCAGAGAGCACCCGTGCACAGTCCCGTAGCCGCAAAGAGGATACCACTCGGTCCAAACCCAAACGGGGCGACAAGGGCAAGCAGAAGGCGTCCGTGGCGGACTCAGCGGATGTAGAGAGGCAGGCTGTGGCTACTTTGACATCGCTTCTTCAGTCGCGTCCTTCCGTGGCTAGCGTGTCATCTCCGCGGTCCACGCTCTCTACCGCGTCTGACGCGAGCTCATTCCAGTCTTTGTCGCAATATGCACAAAGTTCTGCTCGCACAACGACAGCAGCAACTTCGCTGCTGCCATCAACCGAGTCATCATTTAGCATGCCTCGGGCAGCTACCCCACCCCGTAACTCGGGTGACAACATCTACTCCACACCTCACACAAATGACGAGGAGGCTGCTAACCTCATGCTTTATCTACATACATCGCCGTCGCCCGCACGCCCTACAACCACCCGGGACAGGGATACCCAAGATTTTGCAGCCTACAGAGCCCTTGGAAGCGATTCAGCATCTCTCCTTACTAAGGGAAAGATCCTTTTTCCAGGCCAGGATACAAGAAGCTCGCTGAGATCAGAATGCAGTCTTACCTCAGAGACTTTACCTTCTAGCCAAGATAGTACGCAACCTTTGAGTCAGCCATTGCGATTGGATGTCGCTTCCCCTGGATCTCTCGCGCCTGCGCCATCTTTAGAGCAAACAATTATTCCACCTACTCCAACTTTGAGTGCTGAATCCTCATCACTGTTACCATCTCCACCTTCACCTTCTAGGCGCAGTGATACTTCGAACGGTTATTCGGGTTCGCCATCAAGCAGCCTTCACGCCCCACCCACTCCGGGCAATGTCCCATTCAATCTCAATGACTTTATCAATGTTTCCCCCTCCCCTGCCTTTACAGCCGCGCCGCGTGCAGCAGTATCTCTCAAATCTGGTCCGAGTGCTAACCTGCGTGCGGATGTCGGCAGAAAGCTTTTTGAAGAAGAGCAGCAGCGGCACCACTACCAGGGCACTCATGGCACCGTCAGCGGTTTCACCGACATCCATCATGACAGAGGCGGCGTCCTCGGTGCTAGTATCGACCTCGCAAGCACTTGATTTATCTTTCCTATCTCCGTCTGCTGGCTCCTTCACGTCTCACACACTTTCCATGTCGCATTCTTTTTCATCAATCATGCGGAATCCCTGTTGTATCAACATGAAGAACAGACTCCCTTGTATCTACCACTCGACCCGGCTGGACGACGGCGCTGCAATTTATCCACTTGTTGTGGTTTTTGATATTATCTGCAAGGCATGGATTCATCAGTATTGGGTATCATTCAACATTGGCAAATTGTCATTGCTATCTATTTTTACAGTCCTCATTTACGGTTGGATCATGACCATCTGTTGAATTTACGTCCATAATGATTTCTTATCTGTTGTTCACTAGCCCTGCTGGAGAAGCATCATCAACTCCTTGTCACTTTTGTGAATCAAGCCAGTCATCCGCTGGATGCACCTATCTATTTCATCGTCCATCTCCATCTTTTGGTTGTTTCTCCTATCCCGTTCATCCCTGTTCTCCTATCTGCCATGGTAATTTATTAACACGGCCAAACCTCTTGTTTGTCTTACCATGTTTCTTTATCGCCATGTGCTAATACTGTCTGCATCGCAAATACACAACGTTTCTTGACTCGTACAAACCATCTCACTTCTTAAACAGAAATGCAATGTCAACATGTCAACAAACATTCTGCTTGGGAGATTGTTGATTTCAGGCGTGTCTATTATTTTACGTGTGTGAACATATCCACCATCACACCTCGACTGAAATCGAGAGTTCTTCGAGTGAGTGTTTAAGCATTTAGAGTCTATCTCATCACCTTCATTCAAGTGCTACAGTTAATTTTGCCACAGTTGAGAACCGTGCTGCGAAAACCATCATAAAGTGAGGTTGTGCAGCCTACCCAAGGGGGGTTTTCGCCGTCAAGGTAACGCGTGTGCGCAAAGGCCTGGTTCAGTGTAGGTCCATCAGTTCATGCATTGTCTATGATCTTAGACAGCCACTGCAAAACAACGGTGAGAGCCCGCTAATGGTCGTCGCACTGCTCTAACATATTGCATCCCTACTAGTTGGATTACCACATTGTTAGCTGTGACCTTTTGTCCATAATTCGCTGTTTCACAATTCGGACAACCACAAGTGCAACGCGCCACTTCAACTTCTTTTGTTCTGCACCTTATATAAGGCTAGAGAGACCTGTCGTTGCCTCCCTATAACGAAGATGCCTTCTTCTCTTTCCAAATTGTTCAAAGCCGCGACGACGAATGTCTCCTCTCCGATCCATCATCACGACTGTCACTCTAACGACGTGGAGACCACTACAGCTCCAGAAACCGAGACTTCCGTCGTCAGACAACAACCCGAGCCATTCAAACTCGTCCGTCCACCGAAGCAGTCCCACATCAATCCGATCATAGGTCGTCCTTATATCCAATACTATGGATATGCAATCCCCAACGACTGGCTAATCCGTTTCGCGGAGAAAGAATGTCCAGAAGTGTTGCCCGAACGCGATCACAAATGCTACGAGTGCGACGCCATGTTGCGGGCACGCGAGTTCATCTCAGCTCAATCGGGCGTCTGGTCGTTCGATTTCAAATTTTGTTTCAATCCCAAGGATGGAGAGGTGCCTCCTCTGTGGTTCGAAGCGTTCATGGCTAAATACTTCAAATCCGGCGATGACGAAGTTAGGGCCGTTCAAATTAACACCGTTCCGGTGTTAGCTGTGTGTTCTGAGCAAGACGACTCATTCAAAGAGCGTCCGACACAAGAACAGATGAATATCCTGACACGGTTGATCGGGTATGCACCACGATGGTGGGTGTGTTGTGATTATGATTGAATGTGCATGGTAACTTAGTGGGTTGTAATGAGATATCTACAATATCTAAGCACGAGATACCGCCGGCTCGGGCGCAATTGTGTCTACACGTCATGCTGTGTCGCTGCACGTTGATAGTTTCGTCTCCTTTGTGTTTCCTATTTGCTCTTCTTTCATTCACTACTATGGCGACGTCCGCTTCATTTCATGGAGTTGTTGCAAAATGCAAGTCAGTATCAGATAACTTTTGGCGATACGACGGATTCATTGCTACTCCAGAACTTGGGAGACATTCATGTCAATGTGTTCACATTACGACTGACAAGAATCCGCAGTCTTATTTTAGTTCGGACAGCTTAAAAGAAGCAGAGCACGCTGAATTGAACGGACCAGAGAACACGCCTGATTGTCTCGCGATGTTGACTCACCCTGGAGTGCCTCCTCCGAATCGCCTAGATCTGGAACCCAATTGCATTTGCGCCGTTCAACGGAACATATCAGACTTCTCTATACACGCGAAAGCCGCTACATCCCACGCATCAACTTCTCACACCGTTCATTGTGGACAGTAAGCGGAAGGCAATTTCCACTGCACGCTGCGTATGCAACCACGTTCAATGCTTGCCAAGGACTTACGCTGGCGCGCACAGCACTTGACCTGCGGACCGATCCGTTTGCTCGCGGCCAATTATATACGGCGTTGTCCAGGGTGAGGACGCGGAGAGATACGCTGTGTTTGTTTGCAGAGACGAACGAAGAGTAGGACTGTGCGAATATCGCGTTTCCTCACTTGCTACTGTAAATACAATTTGTCGTCGAATAGAAGACCGAAGGCGTGTCCTTGTATTATTGAATATCGAGCTTTTTGAATTGCGTGCTGTAGCAGTTACATACACCAGATCTCAGGTACTAATACATGTGATTGAACGAGATATGGATTCTGCTGATGACCTGACGGTGGTCCACGTTTGAACATCAGCTCATAGCTTGACCCGTGACCCGTCCTTGATCATTAATGCCCTGGAAGATTTATTAATGAAATAAGTTGCACAGATTTCACGCCAAAGCGGAGGGCTAGCATTATTTAACGATTCGAGAAGTTAGTCAAAGCCAAAGATCGATAGCCTCGAGGTCAGAATCGTCGTGGTACAACTGGCGCCGCTGGCCTCTTGTACTTGTGCTTAGGGGGACACCCCGGTTGGTGCACAAGCTAGGTTATGGTAAGGGTCTTCGGAAATGGTTCACCTTATGAGTTCATTATGGCGGACAATGTTCAACTCTGTACCACAATTAATCAGAAGAGTGAGATGGTCAAGGTGTACACTGTAAGGCTGGTTATGAGTTCGACGGGGAATGATGGGTCACGAGTGATGAGTGAGAGGGAGTTAATTCACCAAAGACACGAAAAGTAAGGACATGCTTTTATATCTAAGTCAGTGCCTATAGCGGTACAAAGGGAACTCCATAGCCAGCAGAGTTTTCTTGTGTGCGCAAACCAAGTTCCAACAGGAAACCAATTCAGATCGGTACAAAGGATGTTCCATAGCCGGCGGTCAAGGGAATTCCGTAGCCAGCGGAGTCCTTACAAAAGCTACGCAGGATAATCACGAGGAGAATGAGAGCAACCATGATCGATGGTGGGAAGTTGTTCTTTATGGAGGGCTTGATTAGAGTTCGATTATGGCCGGACGGCGGACGATGTACAACTCTGTACCATAAGAGTGAGATAGGCTTCGATTAGACACAAATAAGGGAAGGTAGGTCCTAGGTATACTCAACTTGCTTCCGCTGCAGTGGAAGACCAGTCTATCGATTCGTGGGCACCGCTATAAGCTTTTAGCTAGTAAGTTTGAATGTTCCTGCGTGCTTTCTGTAGCCGAGACCCAGCGCCTCTGGGGAGTTAAGGGAATCCAGGGTACTCAAGTCTGAGCATGGTACACCAAACGTAAAATGGCTCGTTGATGTGAGGCGCCTAGGAACGGACATGCAGGTGCCAGCACCAGTGATAGTACAGCAATCGAGTATCTGTTGTTTGATTCCAAGTAGTGGATGTGATAGCGAGTTTGAGACAGCGAATGGCCGATCTCTCAAAGTAGCTGGGTGGCGGGAGAGACCATCTCTGGGATGTAGCAGGGCTTGGAAAGCAATTATGTGGATGCGGCCAAGATAGTCTTCAAAATGATATCGACGATATCATGGGACCTTGATTTAGGTTTTCGGATTTGGAAAATACGTGCGTGAGGTTGTGAGTAGTTCTGAATGACCGAGAAAGCGGGTTGTTGAAGAAGAGACAAGAGAAAAATGGAAATCAACGTCAAAGACGACGGATACAGGTAGACAACCGATGAATGAGCTAGCTAGTAAAGAGAGAAAAGCATGAGATAGGGCGCGACAGTCATCGTACGGGCGATACCGTGTCTGGACCGATCAACACAGCAGAGTCTGCGACATACCGTGCGGCAACCGTGCGGTACGACTATGTCAAAGTGGTCTTAACAAGGTAAGTATGAGTTTATTCCCCCCTTGGGCGGGCGTTGAATTTCAAACGGTGACACCCGGCATCGCGGCACACCATGGCCTGCGGGAAGTCATCCAATACAATCTTGGCTCTATTTAATTTTCGCATCGCAATACTTTTTACTTCAACTAATCTTGAACCGCCTTGACTCGGAGGCGAGCTTCAATATTCATCACCAATTTTGCCTATAAAAGTGCTGAACGTTGACTCAGAAACGTTAACAACACTAGCAGCTGACTGTTGGAAAAAAGTTTCCAGCCTTACGATACTATTCAATACCTTTGAAGGGCCAACTTGGCACATGTCACGATAATATTTCAACCGGCATTAAAAGGTCCTTGTCTTAAGGGGCCTTTTGACCGCCCTACGTTGAAATTTGTAGTCTTTCAATGCCTTCTAAAGTCTTATAGGGCACTAGGGCGCTCATCGAACTTCCAATTCGAAGGCATTGTAATGGCCCTTAGTTTTTTTCCGACACATAGCAGCACCGAAACACCAGCCTGAGATCATTATAATCCCCAGTATCCCCCACTGCTCATTCACACACAACCCTCGAACATGGCCATAGTTTCCAATGATCCTAGTTGGTGGCCAACAATCAATTTGGGTATTTTTTATAGCTATTGGATAGGTCCGTCATGTCAGGATGTCTCGACCTAACATTGACTTGCGGTTTCGCAGTTGCCGCAGGCCTCATGGTGGTATACGATTGGGGTGAGCAGGACAGTGCTCGAAAACTGCTGGTATTCTCATGGCATTTCCAGTACTAACATTCGGACAAGAGGTGGGTCGGTGCTATTGCCGTGGCAGCCAACTCGCTAAGAATTGTATCATAGATTGAACTGATCTGGGTGAGTGGCAGAGTCCCACATCAGGGGAAACGACAGGAGATTATAATGAATTCGCGACAGAGGCAACGCTGGACCCTCATGACTGTGCTGTACATGGTTGTGCGTACCTCATGTTATACTATGGCGTGATTGACAGTCGTGCTGATCCCGAAATATTAATGTTCTAGATACGCTATGTTGGAATACTATATTCTGTGTATGTTTTGATAGCCAACAAATCAGTGCTGTGCTAATAGAACATCTCTCGTCATCAGTATTATCGTTCTAGGTATGTCGCATATGTACTTTGTTCAATTCTTCTGACCGGTGGCACACAGCAAGCATGCCATCGGTATCGCTGACGGATGCAGTGAGTATTCGGCTACCTTCTCATCATGATTCCCGTCCAATGAATACATTAATTTGTAGGGGTGAGTGAGATTCTGACCATCGAACTTGACTCAACATAGTAATGATTCGATAGGTGTGAGTCCGAGTATTTGATCCTAGTACGAGGATGATCGCTAATTGAGTGTTTCAGGCGATATTGTGATCTATGGAATACATGGGACGAATTTGGTCGTAGCTACCATGTTGGGCGGTGGGTCACCCAGTTGCAATACCTCTGTGTTATTGACTCAACCGAAACACGATGCAAGTCATCATGATTGCTCGCTTACATGCTATGTATCGGGGATCTAGAAGGATGCTTATCTTCCTTGTTATCATCTTCCTGATTGTTTCCATCATCTGCGGAGCAATCACAGCGATAGGAATCAAGGATACAGTGCCGGGTAAGCTCTATTTGTTGACTTGAAGAACACAGCTTATCGGACAAACGTCAGAGGAGCTGATACTCTCTGGCGTATATATGTGCTATTTTGGGTCTGAGGGGATTGTCCTTCTTTGGAACTCGATAGTTTGGGTGTGCTACATTTTTTGGGAGAGCCTCGCATTATGTCTTTCAGTCTGGATTGCTATAAAACACTTCCGTGACCTGCGACGATTCGGCCCATCAACAGGATCGACCACCGGGGATTATTTCAGAGTGCTGATACGATCTCACGTACTTTATTTTGCGAGGTGAGCTTGTAATGTGAATGTGATCATCTTTTCCTGCTCAAGTTCCGCACGTACTAGCTTTGTTTGTGTCTCTTGCCTCCAACTTGTTATCTTTCCAGAGCTTGTGGTGCGCCGACCTGTTGCTGAAGTCTGCTTCTACTGACTGCCCATCATTTCTGTAGAATTCGAAGTCTATGGGAGCTCAGATACTCTATAGCGCATATCAGATTTTATTTGGTTTGCAGATGTTTATTCTGGGACCACGCCTCGTCCTTAGCGTTCGAGAACATCACGCTGAGGTCGTAGCCGATTTCAACGAATATACTAGCATGAATTCAGTTGTCTTCCAGGAGCGTGTACATGTACCAACTAGCAGTACTGTGTAGGAACATAATTGCCGAATGGTCTGCAGGGAAGACACATTTGGTCGAGGAATTTATTTCAGCCATGGTATTTCAAAGTATATTTAAGACAGACAAACATTTCTTCTTGCTGATACTAGAAGTCAGTGAACCGCCCGCCTACACATGCACCAAGTAGCGAGCTGAAATTATCCGAAACGTCTAGCATCCAATCCAGTCCTTGATGCCCAGACACCCGATTTTACTTGTTTTCGGATGTGATGTGTTGATGCTGACAATCTCGAGACGCGGTAGGTGAGATATTGATTCCCATGATCTGGTGCTGACAATCTGATAATTTCTAAGGTCAAGGATCGGGGGCGATATCAAGGGTGGCGTGGAGTTGGAGATATTATAATATACTACTATATGGGATTAAACGAGATGTGGATTCTGCTGATGCTGAAGGCGATCCACGTTTGAAATTTGAACGTTGAACACTAGATAGTAGCTTGACCTGTCCCTGATATATCGATAGTTAATATCCTGGAACATTTCAATGAAATCATATATTTCACGAGCTCCAAGGACGTCGACGAGATGCAGTACCAGGTGCTTAGACAGGTGCAGGATGGAACGTGATGGACGCAGTGGCCACCGACTGCTGCTGGGCTATGGTTATTCATGCTTACATTGTATGGAAATAAGATACGGTAAACATAAATTATACTTTGTTTCGTGTAGGAATGATATACCAGCATTGGAGATGATATGGAACGATATCATTTTTTGAGGTACTTGCGAGAGCACTGCTTTTTGTGTACATCTTTCCAGTGTACCTTGATAGCACATTCGTCAGCAACAAGACTTGCAAAATGTCTCAATCATACCTTCTGGTGCTCAGCAGAACAATATCTAGACGGCACCCTGTTTAGCATCATATCACCCCCGTTTGTTCAGAAATGCTTACAAAATGGCCCTGCAACCACTGCACGTCTTAAGATCCTGGCCACCAGGCTTTCCACAAGCAGCACAAGCCGACTGACTTCTTTTATCCTTCGTGCTGGACGTTGTCTCCTGCCAATATCCATGGCTCTCGTGGTCCCATTCGCGCTGAATGCTCTGGCCTTTCTTGAGTTTGCCCGTCCTGGAATCATGTGCGCTGGGGTTGATAGGCATGGTGAACGCCTTCATGCCCGCCCTGACTGAGTTGGGCGAACTCAGTGCTGCGGAGAGTCGCTCGTTAGCCTGGTCGACGTCAAAGGCGTCAATGTCGAACAGAGAAGGAGGTTTGCCGAAGCCTTTGTAATTTGGGCAATCAAGAATTTCTCGCTTTTTCTTAACCCTGGAGATGTTCAGCACTGGAATTGAATCAAAGGGAAAACCTAGTACTGCTCGGTGTACGAATCAGTGTCGTAGGCCTTGAGAAAGTTTTGGTATTGGTACGACCCTCTCATATTTTCTGGATGATAGTTTGACAAGTGGAATATTATGTACATTAGAAAAGTAGCTCACCACCTGGGCACATGCCCTTGCCATCGAGTATCTGAACACGTCCATACGACTCCTCGACGGGGAAAATTTTCTCGATCTGATCGACGTAAAATCAGTCCGATATCGGGTAAGATATTCGATCATACCTCGATTTCGTGGTGCCACTTGTCCCCATAGTCATACAAGTGCGCAAACGTATCGCCCACTTTTGAAAACAGGTGGGCGAGCATATACCTGAGTGTCATCAGAATCAATGTGACACGGGGAGATCATGCTCTTACTTGTCATCCGGAAGGTAAACATATCCAACCTAGGGTCGAGATGTCAGACGCTCCAAACATATTCCCTAGGTTTACGTGCCTGGTTGATATGCATTATGTCTGTTGCGTTGGCGTCCTATGCATGTAATTAGAGATGGACTATGGTGTGAAAGCGGCTCAATTTACGTCAGGACCAAATACAGCGCCGTCTCTAAGATCTGTGAACGTGTAGCAGTGGAGGTTTCGCACCCTACACACAAAACAATGGCGTCAGTGTGTAAATAGAATCGGGACATCAAATGGGTACCAGTTTAGAATGGGCGAAAGGACCTTATCCTGGAACACGCCTATCTTCATACCAGCTGAGAGGCGCACCCGGCGCCATATGCGAGGGTCGCCATTGGCATCTTGCAAGAACCTTTGAAGAACATGTCAGAGGGTGCGGCATCATTAATACAAGGAACGTACTTCAAGTGTATCTTGATCACAACATCCTTCTTGTCAAGGTCTGCAAGATCAAGTTTGCTGAGCTGCTCGCGCTGCGAAGACAATAACAAGTCAGGAAATGAACGAAATCACCTCAAAGCGTACCTACCTTACGATCCTTTAGAACATTCATGAATTGATTTTCAGGCCAGGGTGTTCCACCGCTGGCTTGTCGTAGGAAAATTGGTGGGCCATCTGAAGCCAAATAAACGAGACGATCAAACCATCTCTACAAACTTACTGTTCTATACATCATTTGGATTCCATCGACTAGTTTGAAGAGTCAGGATATACAATATACTGGACTCAGAGTGATTGCTTACAGTCCCAGATATTATCTTCGTTGTACTGTACATGTCAACGTAACTGATTCGAAAGAATTGGTAGGCGACATACCGGAAATATACCCCAAGTCTGAATCTGTCCATGGGGCCCCGGTTTTGGCTTGAATGTACGAGGATCTTGAAAGAGTAGGACATCTAGGACTCGTCCTCAAAAGAGTCGAACCACTTACCCTCAAAAAAAGTCTCTGGCATGCCTTCGCCATTATCTCCAGAGAGAAACTTCACAAATTTGGGTTTTCGTGTGGGGCGCGTCGTAGAGCGAGGAGGAATATCCTCACCGGTCAAGGAAAGTGTTGAAAAGAGTTTTGTAAAATCCATGGTTGCTGCTCAACAGACATAGCATGCAAAGTTGATAGCGGAATGCATGACGCCCAAAAAGGCATATCACTTACGCCGCATCGGAGACGCACGAACTTTACATAAAGTACCTTCTTAAATCTTAACCCAAGGTGACCGCCCTCTGGGCCAGTCTTCCATGACACATATCATGCACAACCTGTGCATAAATTTGACCTCAACTCACGATATTCTAGGGTTGAACTTCATCTGTCGAGTGACATGGTCACTTCTTGATGAGTGTATTCTGATTCACACTAATTTAACTAACATGAATCGTACAAACAAACAAACAAAGGACAAAGTTCAACAAATAGCACTACCAGATAAAAGGACTGCAGCTAGCACGTCTTTTACCAGTGCACCACCCACCTTGCATCTCCCATTATCAGTACTACTTCTTACACGTTCAAGATGTCTAGCAATGGAAAAGACTACACGTACACCGGTCATGGTACCAATGACCAAGTAAGCGCCCGTTTTGCGAGTTAGGGGTGGTGATTAACAAACACTCTTCGTAGGGCAATCACTACTGCTCGCGCGACTACGGTAGCAGCGGTACCGGATACCACTATTCTAACAAGTAAGTTTTCATCGTGAATGATTCTTGATTGGTGGTACTGATTATATTAACAGCGACGGGAGTTATTACTACAACAACCCGAACGGGTCCACTTACTACGACAGTGGCACAGGGTACTCGCAGTACACTGCTCCCAACGGAGACACTCATAAATCCAACGGTTCCTCGAAGTGATTCTAGGTGATTTTCCTATCTAAATAGCATAAAAATCAGCTTCTGACGTGGTTTATCAGGTTCTTGAGCAAATTCAGAATTCCTTGTATCCATGTTTCTTCTTTGTTCTTACTATCTTGTCAGTAATGGTGAATGCATGAGTATCACTTGATATGTTGATGGATCTGCCTGAATCACTAGTGCTTGTTGAGGTCTAGGCTTCGTTCTCAGTCGAAGCACACTGGGTCACGTTGAGCTCAGGTGCTATTGTTTAGCTGATGAAGTCGCTTCTAGTCTCATTTACGTACCGCATTGATGATCACAGGGCCTCACTATAACTTAGACCCGCATGAAACCACGTTCTACTGCAGTTTAATCTTCAAGTCTGCTTCCCAGCCTCACAAGTTGAGATGATGGCAACCAGCCGATCTCAGCCCGATCAAATGTAGGTAGGATCTTTTTGGGGAGAATGTGGATTACTGGGCATGGCACCAACCAGGAGGGAGGCGTCCAGTAGTTCTTCGGTATGGGTAATCACTGATGCACGCGTAGGAGCCGTAGTCGTAGTACTGGCACCATTACTCCGAACAAGTTTGTCCGTCTCGCTGCGTTGAACAATTTGTTCCTCCCTCGTTTTACTAACAGAACCCTATACTTCAACAAACGGGGCCGGGAAAGCACTTTCACAACCCCGAATGGCCATGCCATCACCCCCAGAAGTGATTCAAGGGTTTCAAACGGCTGGCCACGTCAAGTATGCATGTGGTCTTGAGTAAATTTCCATGTGACATGCATGACCTTGCCAGACGAAGTTTCAAAGCTCCTTTCCTTTTCTATCGTCTCTTTATGGTGTGGTTGCAGTCCTATTGAGGCAGATCGGCAGTTGGGGTACATGAATTTCCAGTTGGTCCCAAGATCGCGGACATTGTCACATCGCGTTTGCCTGCGCGGAGTCGGAATCATCGGTCGATCTGCACTAAATACAGCATCATGGGGATCATTCCGTGTATATCAATGATCTTGACATTAACACCATTGAACATCGTGACATGCGTGTAGTGTAACATGTGGATATTTGAAGATCTCGTGGCGCATCATGAAAGAACCTCAAGAGTGTCAGCAGCGTTCCTGTACCCTCGAGCTTTCGTGCTTCTGTCATTCAGTACACTCGGATCGATCACTGAAATGGAAGAGCACCTCTTGCAGTCTCGTAATTTTTGGTGCTGCGATAGGCAGTGCTTGCGAGTAGTGTCACTCCGCAAACGTATCGGGCCCGGATCACAGTGATCTGACGAAGATCAAGAAAGTGCTGATCCCTCAATAATCATGTGTACATGGATGAATGATCACAAACGGATTAGAAGCATACCACCTCATATCTTCGCATACATCTACCACACAACTCATACCGCCACGTGCTTGCCACCAGAGCATCCGCGTCCACATCGAAAGACACATCAGATGACGAATTCGCGCTGACTTTGCCCTCCTCGTCATTGTCCAGCTCAAGCATTGAAGTCGCCGGCTCTCGGGAGTCTGAACGGCCTGTTTTTATGTGGGAACAAGTTTCAGGTGGGTTTCCTTGGTAGCGGAGGACTGAAAGCCCGCAGCATAACTTGCATTCGCATGTAAAGCCACGTAGGTAATTGCACAGTACCATAGCACGATTGAGACGAAGGGGCGTGGAATTGGGGAGGTTGTGTTACGGACGCATCTCAAGCGGTGGGACTTCGTCGAGTCATTGGCGGCACCACAGCAGGGTGTACACGTCTCGGCGGGAGTATCTTCTCTGAAATAGCTGTGGACATGGAGGTAGATGTAGTTGCGAGAGCTTTGGAGGAAGGCAGAAACTCAGAGTTTGAGAAAGAAGCCGTAAAACGACTAGTATCCTCCACTCCGCACGCTTCGGTGGTGGCACGATGTCGTCTACGTGCATCGAGAGATTTGTCCAGACTAAAGTCGGCTAGGGAATCAGTGAGTGCTTCCTTCAAGATACTATCTTAGTCTGAGGCTGTTATCATCTGGATGTTCGTGTATGTGTCACCGTCTCTAAAAAGCTTCATCAGTAGACTCGTAGTTGTAGGGCTCAATAGTTTACTGATTGCACTTCCACAAGGGAAGTACAGAAGAAAACGAAATACTAGGCGCCTTCGTTGGAGGTTTTGCAGTCGACGCGGCAGATGCAAACCTTGACCCAAAACGTATAGAAGGTATCCCGCTGGTAGCAATCGACCTATTTGCTTTAGCCTGAAGTCCTTGTCCACATTGCAAGACATCGCATAGTATATGGAGTGATCGTGCAGTTACTCTGAATTGGGAGGGACATGAATGTATCATCTTTCGTAGGTACAGTGGCTGAATACGCACGGGACGGGTCTCCTTCGTGGATGGGTTTGATCCTTGGAGGTGACTTCCTTTATGAAGCAGACAAAGGCGCAGATGATAGCATGCTTGATAACGGAGACGTCGTGTAACCCATGAGTAGTTGAGTCGTGAGAGACGTGCGTGTGCTCGATGTCATGCGGACTTGGATTTGGATGGGCTGAAAGCAGAACAAAAGCAAGTCAAAAACACCCCGAACGCCTCATGTGAGAGAGCACGCACGACTTTGTTCTGGCTTTTTCGATCTCCTATAAATATCGAGAGCATAATTAGCGAATTGAGATTCATCCACCGAACAGAATCTATGACCATGTAGGTTCTCATACTGCAGCAGAAGCAGACCGAGTACTGGCGCGCGTCCACTGTAAATGTTGGGATTTGAAAGAGGAGAAAAACGGGAAGGGGATGGCACGTCCTAGTCCAATATAATTTGCAGAGTGAGAAAGCTTCAGAAAGTCTGAGGGTCGTGGAGTCCGGAAAGTCGAGTTCGCCGGATAGTTCGGGGATGATGCGTGCCCTGGTTGGCCATGCGAAGGGGCGCGGTTGGTTGCTGCAAGCGTGTTGGAGAGCTGGGAGAGCATTGAAAGCTGGATGAGTGCTTGAAGTGGCGTACTTGGTGCTAGAGTGTGGTGTTGGGCGGCCTGCAGCTAGCTGCCAATGCTGACAATAGTGGACAAGTCTACGACTGTCCAGGTGCACGTGATCCCCTTTCTTGTTTCACCACCTTGTTTTCTAGTTCTTGTTCCAATGCCTCGACACCAGCCCCTTCATCTTCAATGTCACGTACACCTACTTCGATGTTGGCTGAAGACACCAATTTTCTTCTACTTTTACTGATGCAAAACGTACACAAGTCGAATGACATGAGGCCTAAGCCCGAGGTCTTCTATCAACGCTACAGTAATTTTTTCAGGAGTGTGGTCGAGGCGTCCGGAAAATTTGTATAAAAGTGAGCACATCCATCAACTCCGCAACGAACTGTATATCGTGCGATCAAGCATTGCCAACGCGAAAGAGATAAGACTCACTATTATGACGTGCTCAGTTTGCCAAACTCATCAGGTTCCCCGCAGTATGTGGAAGAACTTCCGGACTCCTATTGGTACAAGACGCAAAGGTGAGTCGTGGGGTTGAATTTTGGATGCAAAGCGAACGACTCATACTCACAGTAGGCTCACAGAAAAGATCATCGCAACATATAAGACCTGTCGGGTTGGTCGTGCCACAAGCCTGGCCTAAACTTGCACACTGTGAGGCGGTGACAGACATAGATCTTGTCAAAGCTGTGACGACTGCGACGACTCGGAGGAATGAGAAATGCATGGCTCGCTAGGTTTTATGGGCTGAACGGTGGCTCTGATTCTACTGGTGGCCTTGCTCTTATATCCTAGAAGGAAAAAATGTTTTTGGAAGACGGTAAGGCTTGGCACTCGTATCAGAATGGTCGCGGACTTGACTTGAGGATGAGAGTATAGGCAGAACCGAAGGTTGCAGGATAAATCCAGAGCATGCGGATGAAGAACCACTGACAATGCAAGTGTCGTCCGGTGAGAACGAGACCGAATCAACTCCATCAGTACTGGTGTGTGTTGGCGATAGGACTTCTACGTGTGCTACCAGTCGGCCGGAAGATATCGATCAGCCTGAGCCTCTGGTACTTGTGTCTCTCTTTGCTTCTTTCCCCTTTCGAGTTTTTATCGCATGTTAACCCCTTCGACACCACATGTTATCTCCACCGGCGTCGTCACAGTCGTCACTGGTAGCGTCTTTCCGTCTCGGACATCCTGACATTCGATGCTCAAGTTCCTGTTGCACCCAGTACATTCAAAGCGAGGTAAAAATCTGAGACAGCATACTGAGATGAAATGTATAGTTCATTGCAATTGTGCATAATATTGTACAGTACGGCATGTAATCACGATATCCGTGACGAAGGGGTGAGTACTTGAGTACGAGAGCACCATCAAAACGATGCACATAAGCATGATGTGACCTGTGAAGCTTTGAAGTATGAAACGCCAGTTGGAGAGGGAGAAAGCACCGGGAAAGAACAAACGAACGGGGGATGAGATCGAGGCAATGTGGAGAGTAGGAGAGGTTCCGGCATGATAGAGGAATGGAAGAGCACCTCTTGCAGTCTCCTTGTAATTTTGACGCTGCGATAGGCAGTATTTGCGAGAGTGTCACTCCGCAAACCAGACAAGCCACTCATCGGAGACCGCATGTTTGCAGTACTGAACTTGATGCAGCCTTCCAGGACCGACAATTCTGAAGGCCTAGTCATTGCCTTGCGGACTCCCCAGTCTGTTGATGTGCGGTGGTCCTAATGAAGCTGCTAAGAAGGAAAATCGATGATAGGGGAAGAGATCACTTTAGGTGTCTCAAACGACTGTGGAAGACATGTTTGTGGTAGAGGTGCAAGTTACTCTTAAAAAGCTTGGAAGTATTATTCCGAAAGGTAGGGAGAACAAATTCTTGAGCTGCGCTATACAAGTAGTACTACAATTGAGCCACATAAAAGTCCGAACTTCATAAACGGTCATTATACGAAACACGACGTAACACAAACGAAAACATGTACAAACCATCGTAACATGCACTGGAGCGTTCATATAATGATGTCCCCATCCCACTTCTGTGAACCTCCCTTCACTAACTCTCCGTCCGATTGTGATTTGAAGTCCTTCAAAACCTCAGAACTATCTGTGGACAGTGCATCGACAGCTTTCAGCTCATGCACAGTGGCGGCGCGGCGCGTCCCAATGAAGACCCGACCCCCAGGCGCATCTTCCAGCGAGCGAAGAATGAGATCCTTCTCGAAAAGATATTTGATATCTTCCAGTGCGTATCCAGTGGTCTCCGGTAGGAAGAAATAGACCCACACCACCATTATCATACAAGAGATGCCGAAAACAAGATATGTTCCATAGGATATGCGCTCAAGCATGGTGGGCGTGACCTGGGCAAGAGCATATGTCAAAAGCCGGTCGGTTCCACATGCAAGGGACAGGACAAGTTGACGGAGATGTCCTGGGGCAACTTCAGCGTTGAAGACGTGGGGGGTGAATCCCCAGCCTACGCTAAATGCCACGGCATAGATATATACGGCAACAATAGATACGTATGTTGCTGGTCCAATGCTTTGGTTGGGGTGAGCACCAGCATACCCACCGATCCATAGCATCATCAGCCCCTGCACTAGGCCACCGTAGATCATGGTCCTCTTCCGACCCCAGCTGTCGATGATGTGGGTCAAGGTGAAGCATGTGGCGACGAATTTCACGACACCATAGATGCCGGTATCAAGTAGTGTCGCGGAAGTACCGGTTAAACCGAGGCTGGCGAATATTTGGGGAGTGTAGTAAGTGATAGCGATTGCGCCGGACCACTGCTGAAATATGATAGCGATGGAAGGAATGATGCAGCGCAGGAATATGATTTTCGATTCTCCCATCCTACGAATTTGGGTGATCAGCGAAAGGTTTTGCCTCCCAACGAGATCGGCACGAATCTCGTGGAGAGTCAGCACAATGGCATCATCATCCTGATCTCTTCTCGCGATATATGCGAGGACTGCAGCTGCTTCTTCGTAGCGGCCGCGCTCAACGAGCCATCGGGGAGACTCGGGCTGGAAATACATCAAAAATAAAAAGAGTACTCCAGGTACAATCTGAACAATGATGGGCAACCGCCACTGCATTTGTCCCGGTGAGATATTGAGAGAAGCGCCGTAATTGACCCAAACTATGCATCGCCTATCAGATTAAATCCCACAGGTCTGCGATGGACACCCACAAGCCAGCATATTTCCAAGTGCTATTCCGAGTGGGATGCTGCCAAGGCATCGACCACGTATAGCTCTTGGAGAACATTCGGATACGTATGTTGGCACTAAAGCTGATAACAAACCAATTCCAATGCCAGCGAAGAAACGAGAGAAGTACAAGACTTTCAGTCCAACTTGTGCGGACATCCCAATTCCAGTTGTCGACTGAATAGTGATTCCAATGAGAAATACGACTGCGGAAGCTAACAGGCTAGGCTTCCGCCCAAATCGACTTGAAAAGTAGGTCGAAGACAATGCCCCAAAGCTGGTGACGTAACTTTAGCCAAATAAGTTTTCATGCTTGAATATACACTCACAAGCCTCCTGCTTGCAGGACCGAGACGATATTTCCGCTCAAGCTGGCGCGTGCAGAGGGTGAATCCGAGAGCAGACCGAAATAACTTTGAAATGATGGTAACGCGAGCATACCGCCCATTAAACTTACGTCCCAACCAAAGCAGGTGAATCCCACCACCCCCGCTGAGAATGCAACAAAGTATGCATTGCGATACTGAATGATGTCTTGGAGTTCCTTCTTCGAGGAAGCGGCCATCATATGAGGGTATAGATTGCTCACGAGGAGTGAGCGAATAAGGCCCAGATATATAGAGTGGCGAAGGATTGGTATCGTGATGTAAACAACTTGAACTTGAACTTAAATGGGATCCTAGCTTTGAGTTTACAAGCATGTGATCATGGTGATTCTAGCTCAACTCCAAGGTACTTCTGCTGCGCCCATCAGATAATGATGAGTCCTTTAGGGTGCATTACGTTGATTGCAGGGCCTATACGTGGTAATGACTTGATGTTGCCTCGAGTAATGAAAAATAAGGACACGCTCTGCACATATTGTCATATAATGGTACATAAAACGATATAACGTTCTCACCAGTCCTCTGATGCGGCAAAAATTCTGACAGCGGCAGGCTAGACCTGACACCTAAGTGCTTCCCCGCGTTTCGTTACTGTCATCGGAGTTGCGCCAGAAAAATGCTTTTCCACCAGGTTTGCGATATCTGTTGGACGTGATGCCCATTGGCCTCGCCAGGGCCCCAATTACACACGCATAGCCGCCATGTGTTATCTATGTGTCACAAATGCGGGTAACCACGGCTGTGTTGAGATGGCCATTGAGTCGACTTGAAGGAAGTATATGCTGTGGTAAGAAATATCAGGGAAACGTAACTCACTACAGAGTGCTCTGTAGCACAATCCAACCCGCTGATAGGCTTGTGGCATGGTAGCCACGTCTGACTTGCCATGATCCAGGTCTCGGGTGAGCAGTTACATGTTGTCGTCGGATAGGTCAACGTCGGCACCTGTGGGCAAGACACGTGGATGTCGTTTTTGGTTGCAATGAGCCCCTAATTACATAAAGAACGCACCCGAAGCGAGCAGCTGATTGCAACCTACTTTAGGGATAGATTAGGGAAGTTGGACAGTGATGAGATCGATAAGATCTAGCACCACTGCGAAATTGTTCGGCTCTGAGCTCCAGTATTACTAGTAAGGTACGAGCAAAAACTCGGGTGAAGGAGTTGAGAGGTACTACTTACTGATTTATCAGAGGCTAGAGCTGACAACGTTCCCGAAGTTTTTCTTACACTACACTGCTGGTACCGTGTTTTCGCCACAGCTTGGCAGCCGAACGGTGGCTCCGGGAGTGGTAACAAGCCCGAGGTCATCTACCGTGCGGTGGCGCCTCATTAATAGTGCTAACAATTCTGCCTTATCAGCAAGAATACCCGGCCCGACAACAGAAATGACCTGCAAGCGATTATCTGAGCCCTTACTCGGACGCATCGCTCCACTATAATGGTTTGAAGTCATTCCAGTTCGTTCAAGTTTTTCATGATGGACCTCTAAGCCTCTCGTGTGTAAGTTACATCACCATACAATATGTATACATGACCGGATTGTAATGATTGATAAAGTTAAAAACAAATTGAGAGATCTACTTAAAGTGTCGCACTAGCATATCGTGATCGTGCTGCTGCAATATAGGGTTTAATCGTCTCACTTCTGCCGGCCACTCAATATCGATAGAGTCGATGGATACAGGATATGTAACCCGGCCTTCGCATCCAGCCCAGTCAAAATCGATAAGTTGCACCTTGTTTTCCTTCGTGATCATGACATTTGGTTTCCGAAGATCACGAAACACGAAACCACGCTCGTGACAGTACTCGATTGCTTTAGTGAGGTCCTGTTTGAAACTGCGAGGCAGTGCCCGTGCATTAGAGGCCGTCGTTCCATCCACATACTCCATAACTACCATCCGCAGCTCGCCATACGATGGCATGTGCGGCATGGTATCGATTGGTCCGTAGTACAAAAGCTTCGGCGCGAACCCTGCTTCCGCCATCGCCATGTGGACGTCCACACCGTACCGGGTGACAAACTTCACGACAACATGGATCGAGTCGGTCTCGACGGTCTTCGCTAGGTATGTTACACAGGCAGGATGGGATTCGAGAGGCTGCTGATATGTGAATTTCACAAGCTTGCCGTCCCGTTTGTAGGTATCTGGGGTTGGGAAAAAACGAGAGTGTGCAACAGGATGTGATATGTCATAACGCGGCTCATCGCGCTTGAAGACCTTGTTATCATACCAGTCTTTGAGTAGAGTGATTGATTCTTTGAGTGCATGCATGACGCGCCCAATTCGAAGGCAGTGGTCATCATCCAGTGAGGAGTAAGTTGGGATCCACATGAAGTCCGTAAGCCGTTGGACGATACACTTCTCCCTGAGGACTGCGCCAAGAACCACTAGCTGAGGTCCAGCACGCGCAATCAAGAACGCAGGACAATTGCACATGAAGGGGAGCTCCGCTTCCTATAGAACAAGCATCAGTGACAAGAATAACAAATATTAAAGTGTCAAATCAGTGTACCTTCTGACATAAGATGCGCAAAAAGGAGAAAGACGTCTGGACAGAAGGGTCAGAACCACCACCTCCAAACTGGTCCTTCTCTTCATCTACAATCAGGCATATCGGGATCTTGTTGTGAAATGCATAGACTACACCATCTGGGATACATTTGCCACCACGAATCTGCTCTTTCACGAAACGGTGTCCGAGCACGTTATCCAGTAGAGAAACAATATTTGACCTGCGGTCATCTTCTTCGGAATAAACGGTTGCAAATTCAGCCATGAGAGTTGGAGTGGCACAAAGTATGTCAATGGGCACTTCGTATGTAGGGTCAAACGTTTTACTTGAGAAGAACGCAAATGCCGGGTTGAATAACTGGATTGGTGGCGCAGTCGTGTCAGCCGGTTTGCTTTGAGCGTAGCGTCCATCGTATATTTTGCGAGGCCCACCCTGGATTGCGCGATATTGATCGGATTGAGCAGCTTCTGAAGGAGGAGGGCAGTCGGATCCTGATTCGAGGGTGTTTTTGAACTCTTTGAGTGGAATATATTTGAGTGGCTCAACCTCGAAAACTAGTTGGTGTAACCTCACCTGTGTTGAGCCGTGCTAGGATGTCAGTTGGGTCTTCCATAACCTCACCCTGAGTGACTGTAGGAAGTCGCACAACGATATGAATATATCTGCGCTCCACTCCATCTGGGAACGCTTCTGACATCTCGGTCAACGCGTCCTCCAACTCCACGCCATCCTTGATACCGCCCTCGATCCCGATCGTGTCGAGCAAGTGTGAATCTTTTCTGTTGATTTTGATCTTAGACAGCATCAGATTTTCAGCACCAGATCACGGGAAACAATCTCTCACCTGCCATATCTCGAGATCGTCAGCATCAACACAATCAAACCGATTCTTCTTCTGGTCCTTGATAGCGACTCTCAAATGGCCCACGGTCTTTGTGCTCTCGATGTCGATAGGAAAGACATACTTTGGGCCATCCCCAAGGATCCAACAATTGAGCTCGAGTGTGTGTGACATGAACGTTGGAACAGCTGTACGAAGTCTAGAGAAGACTCAGCGGAAGTTGATAGAACCTTTCTGAGGTGGGAAAAGACGTGAAGCAGGTACATATGAGTCTATGGAGGATGTGTGGCTGAGTGACGAAGGTGCTATACAGTACATAGCAAGAAGAAAGAGAAATAACATATCTAGTTGAACGTGCTTATGTCAACAGGATGGATTGGATTCTTACTAAGTACGAAGAATGAGCACGTGGTCAGAATAAGGTCTATGTCCGTTTTGAGCAAAGTGTAACTCACGCCTTCTTCTCTTCGTACCTATCGATTCTTGATATCATCGATAGTACTTGCGGCTCGGAAGTCCATTTGATCTACCTATTTCAAAGCATCCTTCTGAAGCCACTTCTCATTCCAAATCTGACGATTTCACCGAATGAACAGACTACCCTGTGATCCCAGCACTAATGTGTGCCCCGATTTCATGGACGAAAGGTATCGTGCCAGTCGAACTGTTTTCGTGACAGCTACCACCACAGAAGCCCAAGCGGCAGTTAATCTCCGCGCCATCTGGGAAACCACTAACGACGCCCTCTGCGCACAGTGGCAACTACAAGTAGCTGAAGACGAACGACTACGCACCGAACAGAAATGGTTAGCCGAAGAAGAAGAAGAGCGTCAAGTCCAAGCCGTTCGGCTTGAAGAAGAAACTGCGCTAGCTGAGGAAAAGAAGAAGAACCGCAACAAGTACCACGTACTCCCCGAATATCCCCGCCCTACAGCAGCAGAAGACGAGATACTAGTATCAGACTTTGCCATATGAAAACTCGACAAAGGTCTGTATGTAGAGATATACTACTGGACCAACGGCGGGCTAGACGACGCTCTCACCAATTATCGCACCAAGGACGATGAAGGAATGGTGCCCACCATGGGAGAAGACGGGTCCACTGTTTGGGTCAGCGCGGCAGCCACGAGGCCCTCAACTGGCATGATACCAGACCGAAATCTCACCACAGTAGACTTCGCACAAGCAGTCCCACGCATGATCAACTCCCTCGAAGAGAAAGGTTGGCCGAAGCAAAGAGTCCTAATGCTAGCCCGCTTCTGGGGAGCAATCATGATCCACAGACACTGGAATTCGAGGGACAAATCAGCGCACAGAGGTCTGATGTTATTTCAGGAAGAACAACGTCGGGCTTGGCACAATGCGATTCCCATTCCAGCAAACACTTGGGACATATCCATCATCAACGAAACAGTGATCACACGCACGGTGGACAGAGTCTATAGAGACGACCGAAACAAACAAGATTTGAGCAATGATTTCAAAGTATGTAGCGCATCAACGGCCCTACATCAACCCTTACTGACCAATCCTTTTCTTTCCTCCTCCAACCAATGCTCTTAATCATCACGCGTACACTCATCCGCTCCCATCTTTTACTCAATCGGTCGCATTACTCTGCGGTTACCTTCCCCTTTGTTCTTGCATTTACCTGCCTTTTCTGCGGTTGCGGTTGCCTTCGCCTTCGCCTTTGGCTCATTGCAGCAAAAGAGTCAATACTCGAGCTCTCACAATGGACCAGCTGAACCCTCTTCCAACTCGCACGGAAGACGTTCTAAGCGCTCTACCTCCCCGAGTCACAAAAGATGGTCAGCATCCCCAACAAAGAAGTCCTCTGCCCCACGCAACACTCGCGTTTCAACAAGCACCCGCTCGGGTTTTCAAGGCAGCGCACACAGCACTTGCTCCCCAGCAGTGTGCGCCGTCTGCCTGGGGAGAAACTCACACAGCTTCATCGAATGCACTGCCGAACGACTCTGGGACAGCGCCTTCCCCGCGGTTGCTACCTGCAACAACAAACAACTACTCTTGTGAAGCTCGGACAAACCATTATGCGTCGACTGGCAACGTGTCGGCAGTTGCTCCAGTTCCTCCCACAACGAGCGACACGTCTGCTCGGGCTGCCTGGCTACCACCCACGGAGCTCAGAACTGCCCTCGAGCTCAGGCGATTACATCCAATCACACCGTATAAGTTCGACATTTGGGAAACGAAACTACGTGCTTTTAATCTTCTTGTCAAATATCCAAATCTACCCCAAGGACTCCAACACGGTTTCGTTCTCAACATTCCCCGCATCCACACCATACAAACTCCACCTAATAACCCTTCTTCCAGTATATTCCTTAGCGCGTTCGAAACCATTCTCAACCGAGAACTTAACACCGGGCGTTACATCAGCCCTTTCTCCCAGCAAGAATTACTATCCCTACTCGGTCCGTTCCAGACCTCTCCCATATCCATCATTCTGAAACCAGGGAAACCTGGCAAGTTCCGCGTCATACAAAATTTTTCTTTCCCCCACGCCATATCAACAGAGTATTCCAACCCATCCATCAACTCGAGCATCAACTCAGACGACTTCCCTTGTACGTGGGGCACCTTCGACACGGTGTGCACCATCATACGAAGTCTACCACCGGGATCCCAAGCAGCTACCCGCGATATTGTGGAAGCTTACAGAACAGTTCCTCTGCATCATTCGCAATGGGCAGCTGCGGTTGTGCGTTTACCAGGAGGAGGCTTCTGCGCGGATACTTGCATTTCCTTCGGTATGGGACCTTCTGCAGGAGTCTATGGACATGTGGCTGACGCAGGTATTGATATTCTACGCGCAGAAGGACTCGGTCCTTTGGTTAAATGGGTGGATGATCACCTGTTCTTCCGCGTGCGACATGAGTATTTGGATAGCTACAATGCCTCGTGAGCACGCGCTCATACAATTCTGGCAGCCAACGGTCAACGGCAGACAGGAGGGAGACTATGGTTCAAAGGTTCTGTGCACGAAGACGGTACCTTCGACGTCTATGCAGAGGACTGCGCCTTCCCACTACGAGATCTCTCGCTTACTTCCCCACATTCACTTCATGACTCCCAGTACAACTTCGGTTTCACAGATATCAACCGTGTGTCCGTCCCCCTGGGTTTTCTTTGGGAACCCACCAAAGACACAGTGTTCGCCCTTGTGGTATTATACCTGGGGCTCATGTGGAACTTGGCGAAACTCACGGTCCAACTATCAATGGACAAGAAGACGAAGTACCTTGCAGCGATCGCGGAATGGCGCTCCCACGTCACTCATGTTCTCCTCGACGTCCAACGGCTGTATGGGAAACTCTTACACTCCTGCCTGGTGGTACCCACAGGGAGAGCCTATCTCACAGCTATGGAAACCATGCTCAGAATCTGCGGTAATAGTCCGTTCATGTCACATCACGCAGTCAAACATCTTGAGGAAGATCTCAATTGGTGGGAACAGAGACTCTCTCAGCCCTTTGTCGGATGTTCCATCCCACAACCCCCAACTCTCATCGACTTACATGCCTTTTCAGATGCGAGCTCATCCGTTGGAATCGCAATTGTTATCAATGGGTATTGGCGGGCCTGGACGTTACACCCCAGGTGGAGAACTCTCAACGGTCAACAAGACATCGGCTGGGCAGAAGCCGTTGGTGTCGAACTCCTCCTCCTCACAATCCTGGACAACTATGTTGATGCCAACGCCCCCTCGCACTTTCGACTGTTCTGCGACAACCAAGGAGTCATTCTCGGCTGGAAGACAGGTTGGAGTCGCAACTGTGAAACCAATCTCGTCTTCAGACGCATACACCAACAGCTCGAACAACTTGACAATCTCGTCGGAATCCATCTTGAGTATGTACCCAGTGCTGAGAATCCCGCAGATGGTCCCTCCAGAGGCGTGTTCCCCCCCAGACGTCTTCTCCTGCCGCTGGTTATCCTCCCTGGAGATTTACCCAGTCTCCTCGTCGACGCAGACTTATCCACCCCACCACCCAACATCACCGTCAGCAGCCATAGCCCAATTGATGGGGAGCAGGTGGATGGGACAGAGAGGTGGAACTGGGGAGAAGAGCTCATCCGCTATCGAGACGCATGGCGGGACTAACCTCTCTCGTTTTGCAGGCACCACCCCACTCCCCTTGACCCTCATGCATGCCCAACCTCGTCCCTACCCTTCCTCACTCACCCCTCTCGCGTCAGCTCTTCGCCCTCACTGCCTAACACGTGAAAGGCTCCGCCTGTGGGTCCCAGCCGCTTCACGATCCAGACTTGACAACGCGGGATGCCCCATCAGTGTCTCAGAAGACGACCTGGATAGGATCATAACAGTCATCAGTCACTCACATGCGGCAAGCACGCGCGAGACCTACGGCTCAAGACTGCTTGTTTTCCATGTTTTCTGCAACTCGCGTAAGATTCCAGAAGAACAACGATGCCCAGCCTCATCTATTCTCTTACTAGCTTTTATTGCATCCTGCGCAGGAATGTACTCAGGGAAGACGCTAGCAAACTACTTTTACGGAATCCGAGCTTGGCACCTTCTTCACGGGCAACCTTGGTTGGTCCAACAAGGAGAGATCACTCTGGCCTTAGAAGGGGCCAAACACCTCGCGCCACCAGCCTCAAAACGCCCCAAACGGGCTGCCTTTACCCCAGACATCATCAGCGCGATTCGCACCACCATAGACTTAGATCGCCCTCTGCATGCTGCAGTCTTTGCCTGCCTCACCACGTCCTTCTTCACCATCGCGTGAACTGGCGAATTCACGGTCACGTCACTCCAGAACTTCCGCGACAATCCCCAGATTCATGTGAGAGTAGACTGCATGAGGCAAGAAGAGGATAGGAACGGTTTCAAAGTGACCGTCTTCCGTTTGCCACGCACCAAGACCTCGCTAGATGGGGAAGACGTTTACTGGGCAGCACAGTCAGGCCCAGCGGATCCCAAAGCAGCCTTATTGAAGCATCTGACCGTCAACAATCCCCCTTCATCAGCTCATCTCTTCAGTTGGCATCACCCAGGAGGCTTAAGGCCATTGACGAGAGGAGAGTTTCTCAAATGTTTGCAATCGGCTGGTGAGCGCTTGGGGCTGGAGGGCCTGAAGGGCCATGGCATACGGATAGGTGGGATGCTCGAATACCTTCTGCGAGGAGTACCTTTCAAAAGCGTCAAGGCCATGGGCCGCTGGAACAGCGACGCTTTCATCTTATACCTCAGGCAACATGCAGTAGTTCTGGCGCCCTACTTACAAGACAATCCCGTTCTCGAACCATTCATGCGTTTGACGCTACCTTAGCCTTTCTTGAACAATGTTTCGTAAGTCGTCACACTCTTCCTTGTGTGGTTGGGTCTCAAGCTCTCGCTAGATGCGTCATTGTGTTCCTATTCTTTTCAGGGTATCTCAGCTCATCCTTGCCACCTCCACTTACGTGTTTCGGTTGAAAGCCCGGCGGGCTTTGCCCAAACACTCTTTAGCGTAGTTTTCATTTGCTTGCTCTTGTATGTCACGTAGTTATCGGACATTCGCAATAACATCTTGTTTGATCCTGGTTACACACTGCGAGGCAGGAACATAGACTAAGATCTAAGTGAAGAATAGCGACGCGCGCGTCACGTGATTCAAACAATTAAGAAAATGATCTTCAGTCGAACTTCTCATTGTCCAAGCTTGAAGGTCCGACAACACGTAGAATCAGCTGTTTGGGCATCAAGGGCTGGTTTGGTGGCTAGTCATTCCAGATAATTTCAGCTCGCCACTTAGTGCAAGTGTAAGTGCTTCACCGACTTCCAGTAGTGACAACAAGAAATGGGTCTGACTAGACCTTTCAAATATATTTCGAGACACCATGACAATGAAAACCAGGACGGATCCAAGACGGATCCAAGACGGATCCTTGATCATATTTCTCCTTCCTATAGAACACTCGACAAGCATTTTCCTACACAGTACTGCTAGTTGTTATATGCACATGCTTCTGGAAGACAACTGAATTCATGCTAATTTCGGCGTCGGATTCGGCCACGAGTTTGGCGTGATATTCTCGAACACTAAGGATTAGGCGTGGTCCCAGAACAAACATCTGCATGCCAAATAATATCTGGCAAGTGCAATAGAGAACTATAGCATCTATAGAATATAAATTCTACAAAAACGATGAGTAGTGGTCACAAATAGATGTCAGCGAAAGGTGGGCGCACCGCTACGATCTCCGGAGAGACGTAAACAAGCTGGAGGCAAGACACACAAGCAAAGCTAATACGTGAGGAATTTTAGCAGAACAAGATAACTACATTCACATTATCAGCTCACCTTGCAAAATAAAGCACGTGAGATTCTATCAGCACTCTGAAACAGTCCCCGATAATCGATCCGGCTGATAGGCCGAATCGTCGCAGCTCAAGGAAATGTTTCACAACAATCCAGACTGAAAGACACAGTGCGAGGACCTCCCAAACAGTATTGAGCATCCAAAGCATTGAAATCAGAAGCTGGGAGTCTCCCTCAAACCCATAATTGCACATATATGTGCCAGAGAGTATCAGCTCCTCTGGTGTTCGTCCAATGAGCTACGTTCTCCAATTCAACAAGTAAAGCTTACCCGTTAGAATATATTTGAGTGCTATTGCCATGAGTACTCCGCAGCCGATATTTATAGCTAGGAAGATAATAACAAGGAAGATAAGGATCGTTTTAGATCCCTGGTACATGGCATGTAAGCGAGCAATCATGATGACTTGTCTCAGTCGAGTCAATATCACGGAATTATTGCAGCTGGGTAACTCACCGCCCAACATAGCAGGTATGATCACATTTGTCCCGTTTAGTGCGTAGCCCGTGATAGTGCCTAAAACACCCAATTAACGATCGCCCTCGTACTAAGATAAAATACTCGGACTTACACCTATCGAGTCGTTATGATGAACCAACTTCAATGGTTAGAATATCACTCACCCCTAAAAATTAATGTATTCGTTGGATGGGAATGAGTGGGTTGCAGAATACTCACTGCATCTGTGAGCGAGACCATTGGCATATATGCTGCCAGTATGTGTCGCTGGTCAGAAGAATCGCACAGTGCATGAGAGACTTACGCAGAATGCTGACACTGATGATGAGATGGCTATTAGAACAGCGCTAAAAAGATTGTTGGCCTCAAAAACATACACAGAATACGGTAGTCCAATATAACGTATCTAGAACATTTTTCGATCAGCACAACTGCTTATCACCCCATAGTATAGCATGGGGTACGAACAATCAGGTACAGCACAGTCAAGGAAGACCAGCGTTGCCTCTGTCGCGAATCCATTGGATCATTCTTCTTCTGATGCGAGACTCTGCCACTCACCCAGATTAGTTCGATCTATGCAATCGTTCTTAGTGAGTTGGCTGCTCGGGCAATAGCACCGACCTACCTCTTGTCCGAGTGTTAATACTGAAAATATCATGAGAATATCAATGATTTTCGAACACTGTCCCACTCACCCCAATCATATAATACCACGATGCCTGCGGCAACTGCGAAACCACAAGTCGATGTTAGATCAAGAGGTTTGAGACATCACAAACTGATGCGACGAACCAATCCAATAGCTATTAAAAATATTCGAATTGATCATGGGCCACCAAATAGGATCATTTGAGACCAGGGTCATATTCAAGGGATGGGCGTGAGTGAGCGGGGGATATTGGCGGTTATAATGATCTAATGTTCGTGCTAGATATACCAACGTTCGGGCCGCCTGTTTGTACCGCCGAGATCTGCATGATGCATGTACTGGTGATGCCGCGCGTATATCGTTAACGTTTACGTTCAAGTTTTCCAATATCCAGAACGTTCTCTGACAGGTGCTGGCATTTTACTACCACCCCTCACGAAGTCTCACCTAGTGCCATCATGATATGGCTTCATCAGGGAATACCATACTATGCGTCATTCGCACCCACTGGTTGTGGATGTATGGAACTGTGCCAAATACGAGAGTATTTCCTGTGCGAATGTTTTTTATTGATAGATTTGTGATTTGATTATATGTTATATATTTGTTTTGAGAGTGGGGAGATTTAAATGAATCTGATGCTGTGCTTGAACTGGTCGATCTCTGAGTCGGAGTCGAAGCACGGAGTTTGAAAATATGCAGGTACCATTCGTGCCGGATGTTGTCGTACTAGCACAGACATTGTGTGCAGGCACCAGCCGTTCTGCTTATTGCCACGCCGTGAGTGAGAAGAGAATTGTTCTCCTCCTTGCTTATGCATCACAAATCATTGTCATTATGTTTGATGGTACTCATCGCACCCTATCCGTTATACTTCTCACACTTTCATTTTCACAAATATGATTTCACCATTCGCATGAGTCCAGTCCAGATGTCAGATGCTCACTTTAGTCGTGTCCTGCGAATCAGTGCCACTGTATTGTCAACAATCTGGGCTTCTACTCACTTCCTTCGTTATATTCAAATATATGATGGATCTCGAATGGGTTTATCCTTGGGGCTATCGTCTCAGACACGCTGCTTTCACTTCCCTGTTCCACAGAACCTTTGCATTGCGCCCCACATGTCCAGCCCAGATGGATGATTGCACACTTATGTTGTGCTCAGACGACTGGCGCCTCAGTGATACTTTGTCAAGTGCACTTTACTCCCCGCTCAACACACCGCATTTCCTTGCCATGCGCATCCAAGATAGAAGCAAATACTCGAGCCGTAAGTTTTTTAATAACCATAATACTCCGTATCGTTGAATCGTGCTCGAAACCAGACTATTGTTGATGAAGACATGTCTATCTAACAGTGGTCAGCGATGCATTGGTTCGGTCAGATTATCGGCGCCCAATCAGTTAACTGGTGGTCTCCTGGACATCGACAGCCTTTTCCCTTCACGCACAATTTCGCCCTACTTCGCTACTGCACAGACGAATTATAATGAAGACGTCCGAGCATTCTAGCGGACCTGACGCATTATCAACTATTTGCGATTTCATGACTTGCTTAAGTCGCTTCTTCCTTTGCTTTACTCTGGCACATGATAGTGCTATCAGATCCAAGTACGCATATGAAAATATCGTGGTTGGCGCTTTCCTGATACATTTTCAGGTCAGCTTGATGCCCTCGGACTTGAAGCTCTCATCTTTTTGCCACGCGCATTCATTCATGACAGATGCATATACTCACCCCATAAGTGCCCTTTTTAAATTTTCAGGCTCGATATTGTTGAATTATGCCTGAACAGTGCTTCCTTCCACTCTTGACCTACGATCCTTTACTTCTCTCTTGTCGATATGGATGATATAGAGGCACGCGTCTGGCCGGTTACGCTTATATCTATGACCGTCGACATTCAACAGTAAGGGCTTGACTCACAAGCACCTTCGAAGGTGGACAGCGTGGAGAGGAACAATCAGCGACGAGTCCATTCAGGGACTACATTGGCCACTCTAATGGCTTCTCAGGCACAACTCTGTCGTATGACGCCACCGCTGTGTGAGCTCAAACACGCTACTTCTACTTTCCATTCGTTCGATCCAGATGATGGATATATGTATGTATGTATCTTGATCGGTACTTTACTCTGACGGTCTTGGTAGCTCCAACAGATCACTGCAAAGATACAAACCCGACGCACAATCTGCAGTCGCATGGGCCGAACGCTCCGATGGCGTGACTCCGATCAACGTATTTATGCATGCAATTCAGAATATCGTGGTCGATGCCTAATCAATAATTTACAGGTGCGCTCGAGGCTTGAAGCTCTGGTTCTCTAATTTTCCAACCCATGCTCCGCACCCCATCTCCTTGCCATACTCATTTGTGATAGAGGCATACAGTCAAGCCACGAAAGGGCGAGTCACTGACTTCCGGTAGTGCGACAAGAAATGGGTTTGTCTATATCAAACTCGTCTTAAATATGCTTCAAAGCACTATAATGTAAATACTACGACGGATCCTCCGCCGAATGTCTCCTCCCTGCGAAACACTTGGCAAGCATTTCCTTACACAGTACTGCTAGTTGGTACATGTACACGCTCCTGGAAGACAATCGAATTTATGCTAGTTTCTGCGTCGGATTCGGCCACGAGGTTGGCGTGATATTCTCGAACACTAAGGACGAGGCGTGGTCCCAGCACAAACAACTGCACGCCGAAGACGAATTCATGAATACCACCGAGGATTTGAGTTCCAATAAAAGATGGATTCTACAGAGATGGTGAGCAGTGGTTACAAGTAGATGTCAACGACAGGTCGGCATACCTGCAACTCTGGAGAGACAATAACAAATTGGATGCACGAGACACAGACAAAGCTGGTATGCATGGAACTTCAACAGAGAAGATAACCGTATTCGCATTACAATCTCACCTTGCAAAATAAAGCACGTGAGATTCTATCAGCACCCTGAAACAGTCCCCGATAATCGATCTCGATAGACCGAGTCGTCGCAGGTCATGGAAATGTTTCACAGCAACCCGGACTGAAAGACACAATGCGAGGATCTCCCAAATGGTGTAGAGCATCCAAAGCATTGAAATCAGAAGCTGGGCATTCTCCTCATATTTGTAATCGCACATATATGTGCCAGAGAGTATCAGTACCTCTGGTGCTTGTCCGATGAGCTGTATTCTTCAAGTCAACAAATAAAGCTTACCCATTACAATATATTTGGATGCTATTGCCATAAGTACTCCGCAGCCGATGTTTATAGCTAGGAGGATAATAACAAGGAAGATAAGCATTATTCTAGATCCCTGGTACATGGCATGTAAGCGAGCAATCATGATGACTTGTCTCGGTCGAATCAGTATCACAGAATTATTGCAGCTGGATAACTCACCGCCCAACATAGCAGGTACGATCACACTTGCTACATTTATTGTGTAGTACGTAAAATTACCTAAAACACTCAAGAATTAGCGACGTACTAGCATCAAACACTCGAACTCACACCTATCGAGTCATTATGTTGAGCCAAGTTGAATGGTCAGAATCTCACTCACCCCTGCAAATGAGTGTATTCGTTATTCATTGGATGAGAATGAGATCGGTTGGGAAATACTCACTGCTTCTGTCTTCGGGACCAATGGCATATATGCTGTGTGCCACCGGTCAGAAGAATCGAATATGATGCATATGAGACATACCCAGAATGTTGACACTGATTACGAGATGAGCCATTAGCATAGTACCAACTTGTTGGCTTTAGAAACATACACATAATATGGTATTCCGACATAACGTATCTAGAATATTTTGGAGTCAGCATAACTTGCCAACTACGCTATAGTATAACACGAGGTACGAACAACCAGGTATAGCACAGCTATTAGAGACCAGCGTTGCCTCTGTCGCAAGTTTATTGTATTTCCCTTGTGTTTCTTCTGATATGGGACTTTGTCACTCACCCAGATTAGTTCAATCTATGACACCATTCTTAGTGAGTTGGCTGCTGCTGCGATAACATCGACGTACCTCTTGTCCGAGTGTTAAGACTGGAAATATTATGAGAATATCAAGGTTGTAGAAAGCTGTGCTGCTCACCCCAATCGTATACCACCACGACGCCTATTGCGACTGTGAAACCGCAAGTCGACGTTAGATCGAGACATTATCAACTGATACGACAAACCTGAGAAATAGCTTGAATGAATATTTGAATTGATTATCGGCCACGAACTGGGATCATTTGAGACCAGAGTCATATTCGAGGGAAGGGTTTGAGCGAGTAAGAGATGCTGGGGGTTATAACGACGTAGTGTTTGTGCTAGTATACACTGCTGTTCAAACGTTCACCGCTTGTATCGCCAGAATTGGCATACCCGTCTCCGAGTCTGATTCAATGGGTGGCGGGCCCTTGAGTCACGATTGTGATGCGACATCAATCAAAAATGGAAGTCCTAGGTATCAATTGAATGAAAGTAGATTTTGGTTTCCAACCAATACCAATTTACCGGTCAGAGAATTCGAACATTCTGCTGGTGGATATGAACATTAATGAGTATTGTTGGGTGCAAATGTTTGTCACCACTGAAGCTTGAAGCTTTGAAGTACTGAACCCAGAGTCCCAGACTAGTCGAACAAAGATAAATTTGAAATTTATAGCCAGTCGCGTGATGCCGTTTTGGCTGTGACTCGTCATCGTTTCTTCGAATCCCATGTTGTTGGGAACTCTCCTGCACAATGCACATTATTCAACGGAGTACTGGCCTCAAGGACATGGCTAGAGTGAACAAAGAAAGTCATTCCGGTAGTCTTCATTCCATCAGGTATGTCCCGCCTAACCTTGTGAAGTTGCAAACTAGCACTCCTGATAGCTGTAGAAGATACTTATCTTCAGTGAAGACCTCACCATTTCCTCACGGGCATTCGAGTGTCTTGTCCAGAAGGTCTAGTTTCTTTCCTGCAGGAAGCTTGATGGTAAGCTTCTTGGAAACGGTTCGTTTCCTCTTCGCCATCGATATACTCTTACGAGGATGTGGAATAATCGTAGGTAAAAAGACTTAGATATTATGTAGAATTGCGGGAAGTCGCATCTGTGAAGCGTCGCGTTCGCGATTTTTCAGTAATGTCCTTTTTGGTCGCGTGCGTGCGAAAAAATCGCCAGTGACGCAGCGACGCGTTTCCCCCGCCTCTTTCCTATCATGTTTGGCCCGCGAATATTAGTATTACTCACGATAAGTTTTGAACACTTCAAAAAACTCGCTAAAGTCTTCAACAAACTCGGCCAGAAAGCCATCAAGACACACGGCACACGCGGCATCAGAGCGGACTTGGAAACACTTAGTCAAATTTTAAGGCATGTATACTACACAAAAATATATAGATGTAGCTAGGTATCTAATGAACGAGATATAACAAAAAAGAAATGTGTGATAGTGAGGGAAACACGAGATTCAGAACGGAAGTATGAGAGAGTGAGAGTGCGGGCGCATGAGCTGGGAGGTAGAGTTAGGGGATTCCGTTTGATCCGGCGTTCGAACGCTGAATGTGTGATAGCGAGGGAGACACAAGCAGTGTAAGAGGGCGGGAGCATGTGCTAGGAGATAACGAACATGTTGGGGGATTCTGTTTGATCCGGCATTCGAACGCTGGACGCGTGACAGCGAGGGACACAACAGCAGTGTGAAGGGCGGGAACATGGACACAGGTGTGTGGGGCTGGCCCGGCCGGGAGATACAACAACAGCCGTATGAGTGCGCAGGTGCAGGCATGTGGGCTGGGAGACACAACAGCAGTAGCATGAGATCAGAGGGCAGGAGCACAAATGAAGAAAAATTACTCACATTTACATCCTCAACTTCCCATCCAGCGCCATTGCATACCTCCCCATTATCCACCTGTAAGATCATGCTGGAAGGGGCAAGGGGATGGTGAGATTCGAGCTACGGAATGCACGGAGGATGCAGATGCTAGCGATGACATCTGGCGCTAATCGTGGTAAAAATTTAAACTCCGATTTAAACACCGCCTAATCAGTTGGATGATGGATCTCGAGTGTACTGATAAGAAAACACCCCGTTCCAAGTCACAACCATGCCTCCTCAGTCTACACGTGAAGACCTCCTTCGTGCCATTGATCAGGCTTCATTGGCATTAGCCAACTCACAGTATTTGAATATACTCCTGGATGACCAGGGCTCCAACTCCGACTCAGACTCTAATACCGACTCGGACTTAAACTCGCTTTATACCTCGGATGAGGAAGATCTGGCTTTTGCCTCCCCATCCCCTATATCCCCCATGTCCCCTATGTCCCCTATGTCCCACCTTTTGGGCCTCAGTTCAGATATTTCCAGCCACAGTGACCAATCTGACGACTCAGATGACGCTGCTGTGCGTTACGACCGGCTCCAGCACACAATTGCTGCTCTTCGTGATGAGGTAGAGAGGGCACGTGTATTCCACAAGCCTGATGAGCCTCCTCCTCGGGCACCTCAGCTGCATATGCTGGTTCACCATGAGGAACACCGGCCTCATTTGTTTCGCCAGAAACTGCGCGTCAATCCAGAAATATTTGACGATATTCTCGACCAGATCTCCGGTCATCCTATCTTCCATAACCAGTCCAACAATCCTCAGCTCCCTGTCTCCATTCAGCTTGCTATTTTTCTAAATCGTGCAGGCCACTACGGCAATGCCATTTCACTCGAGGATGTCACACAATGGGCGGGTGTGAGTGTTGGGTCGGTTGTCAACTGCACTAATCGTGTGATGGTTGCATTGCTTGAGGAGCACGATCAGTTTATCTTCTTCCCAGAAGATAACTCTGAGGATACTGAGCTGGCTCGGCGCTTTGCTGAGACACGAACCTGTCCAGAGTGGAGGGGTGGCTATCTAGCCATTGATGGCTCAACTATAGATCTTTTCACCAAACCTGCTTATTTTGGTGAGACATTTTATGATAGGAAATCTAAGTATTCCCTTGGCTGTCAAGTAATGTATTTTTATTTATTTTTCATGGGCAACAATTTAATTTAATTTTAGGCGGTTATCATGCCCCATAATCTCATGATTGTAGATTATTCTCTTGGTCAACCTGGGAGTGTCCATGATGCATATGCTTTTCGATCCACTCGCCTCTATGAAGAGCATGCCAATCTTCTCCCAGATGATCACTGGGTTTGGGCAGACAGTGCATACCCATTGGAGCCATGGTGTATCCCCCCTTTCAAGAAGCCTCGCAATGGACGACTGACAAAGGACCAGAGGACATTTAATTACCA